CAGCAGGAAGGAGTTCATGATTGTCCTTGCAAATGTGAAGAGAATCCTCATAAGAGCCACGTACACCTATGGGATGAATGCCATCTACAGGTGAATGTGGGAAACGTGTCTATTTGCTACAGGCAGCTTCTCAAAATCCCGGTTTTCTCTCTTCAGTGAAAAAAGCTGATGTAATTTAAAATATACTAATTTATTATCATGAAACCCATAGCATTCATTTACACTTTCAATTTTTTTTTTTTTCATTTTGAGTAGACTGGAGGAGGAAAGGCAATAGAATGAAGTAGCCTTGTAAGAAAATAAAATCACATGGGCTACCAAGACATGAATGACAGTTCTACAAATATGTTTATTTTGTGAATACTGCAATTCCCATGTGTATAGTAAATCATGGATTGCAGTAATGACATGTTATAGTGAGAGGTGATATATTGTTTATATACTGTTTTCCCCATTTAATGAACATACAGGGCCACATTAGTGGTGTACCAGAGAATAACATCCTAAGTCTCTAAGCTGGAAAAGAGTCTCAAGGGGAGCTTTCTATGTTTTCAGTCAGCACCACGTACAGCACTGGCTAATCCCAAAGCCTTTCCCTTGACTTATGTCAGGTTGCTGCCTGGCCTGCTTAAAACCACTGATTTCATATTAATTCATCTGAGTCTTCTGATAAAATGAAAGACACATTATATGAGATGACACCGTTGTTCTATCTCATTGACTACAGTGTGTTTGAACCTGTAGAGCTCATCTTGCATGAATGCATGAGCAAATACTCTAGGTGGACTAGAAGACGGCCTCTCTCCTGATAGTATGATTGCACTCTGTGTATACATTGCTAGTTAGGTGGCAAAAGTAATAATTTTTAAATTCACAGTAGAATTGATTGCAGAGTAGTTCGCTACTCACAAGGCATGAAACCTGAAATGTTCCCTAACCTACACATCATCACTTGATTCAGCAGCATAAGCCAATTTGGAATGGAGGGAGCTAATAGCACATTAGTGGTTATTTGCTGACAGCCTAGATACAGCTTTTGCTACTGTGAAATTTCTTAAGCACTCCAACCATCATTTGAATGCTTAGGTAATTAAAGTCCATCCTGATTTGAAAGGCAGTTTGTGTCAACAGCATACAGTGTTCCGATTTGGACTTTGCCAGTGTACATTTTTTCCCTGCAAAAAGAACTCACGTTTCTTTAATATCTTCCTCTTTCTGTGTTGATTAGTATGGATTAACTCTCTGTAAATAAGTTTGTGAGTCATAGCAAGCTTGAGTTTGAGCCAAGGTTTCCTAATTTGCTTCTTTGGTCATCAGTCTTTCATCTCCTTGTATCCACTTTGAAAACCTTTCATAGCCCATCACATTCCCACCTTGGTGTTAGAGGAAAGTCAAACCACCAGGCCGGAGCTTCTCAACAGTTATGCACTATGAGCAGACCATGGGAAGCTGTTAATCCACAGTTTACTGCTGAAACTAGTGGGAGCTCAGCGAGTGCTGTTCATCTACTCCATTCTCATTCAAATAAAAGGAAAAAAAAAAAAGTTTTCCAAACTAAAGAAGTGCAGGAGAAATTTTGGGGTGAACAATAGTGGCTTTTATGCTATGCTGTTTTAAAGGAGATGGTTGACTTTATTTGAGCCGAAGGTTTTACTAAGTATTATGTGAAATGGAAACTTCAACAGTGGTTTACATACATGTGTGTACTGACATTTGCACTAGAATGAGACAAGGACCTTTCTAAGAAAAAGCACTTTGGCTAAGCAGTTAAAACGTGTGAAGTGGACATGTACTGGCTGCATCTTGCCTCCACTGTGGAACAGTGGGGGTGGGAGGGACCGGAAGGGGTTTATGACATAGATGTGTGAACAGCGTAGAGCTCTGGTCAGCACAGATATATAGAACTGGCACAGTCTATGGCACAGTCTATAGTTCGTGCCTTGTAAGTAAGAAGTGGAAGGCCTGTCAGCGGCACATTTGAAAGGCAATGCATCAGCCACCTGCATCCCAGATGACTGCTTTAGCCTTTTGACCATTTGTGGTACCTCACTGTTTTGTACTCTTGCTCATACTCAGCCTTTGGTACATCTTAGTCATCTGTTTTAGATAACTTTCTGAAAACTTGTCTTGGAAATATTCTTCAAGAAGAGCTTGGGACAAACATATAATTCATGCTTTGCAGATTAGTAACCACCACCTTCTAGATACAGTGACATTACAATCGGGAAGGTTGGTCCCTTAAAGACAATAATTTAAAAGGGGGTTAGGGTGCAGGACTGAAGTAATTTTGAATTCATTTCTGCTATAAATAGTTTTATGTTACTGGTGCATCTCTAGCTGTCCCTGTGATGTTTTACCAGAGAAGAAAGCAACAGCTAGTGTGTTACTATGATTATGAACAGCATGTCCAGAAGCCTCTGAAAAGAGTTTACTCTAAAGTAAACACATTTTATTGAGTACTGTCAGGGCACTCATTGCAGTTTAGTGTGACTGAAGAGAGGAAATAAATTTCCAGTCACAATTAAATGAATTGGACTTTTCACCTTTGATTTAGCTGGATGAATCATAGTTTCACATATGAGGGTGGGTTTTACTGGGTGGAATTAAATCTTCTTAGGACAATGCATCCTCCCAGTAACATGATGTAGCAACAACAGTATCTGCTGTCATCCAGCCCAGTTTACGATCTGCGGTTGTAGGCATAGTGCTGATTTTCAGGGCATGCCTCAGTGCTGACTTTTATGTTCTTTTTGACTTTCATTCAGGCTAAAACATACTAGGTGCAAAGCTATGCTCATAGCTCTAAGATATGCAAAACAAGTCTTCTCCACATTCTGCCCCCTTAGTACTATGGAGAAAATGTCCAGACCTGATGAAGAGGATGTTCTTTGTGATATCTTGAGCTGATTAAGGGCTTTTGTTGATAGGCTCCAAAGGAAGATATTTTTTGCCAAAGAAACAGTGTAGAGTTGAGCCTTAGTAGATAAGTAGGTATGAACTAAGAGGATTTTATTGTCTTTTAATCACGTATACGTGGTGGACAGATGGATATTCCTCTGAGAGAGTAAAGAGGGTCTGGCAGAGAGACAGAAATATTACAGGGTTATTAAATCCTTCATGAATGACAATTTCTGCCTCAAAGCATCAGCAGAGTTATGCAACATACTAATTAGAGATTGCTATATTAAGCAACCTGTTCATTTAAATACTGAAAGTTTTCAAAGTGGATAATGACACCACATGTGTAAGGACTTCCAAGGGTGCTATTATAATTTGTGCTTGAGAAGAGGCCAGGACAGAGGTATTGTAAGTTTAAGCAACTTTCTTCCAGTCATGTAGAAGGAGACTTCACTTTCTACAAAGTTCAACATGACAAAATTCAGTGGAGTTCTACAATTAGCTATCCAGATTGTTGCCTCTACTTAGCAAGGGCTTTAACTCAAGGATTATGTTTTTCACCTTTGTTTAGTTTAACCTACTAGGAATATCAGTTAATCAGTAGCATTTCAAGTAGTTACTCAACAATATTAGTGCAGTAATGGTGATTTTGACTTAAGCAGGTTTTTGAAAAAAATTTTGTTGTGGTTTTAAGCTTAGAATGTTGTTATTGCTCTATGGCATAACTAGGAAGCTTCCTCAAATGAGTGGGCTTTCATTTAGATGATTAAATAGGGTAAAAAACGAGAATACAGAAGCGCAGCTTTCACTTTGAAAGTGTTTACGGCTTCTGGGTTTAAATCAAGATCCTACTTTAACTTGACAGATTTTCCAAATTGTTGCAGCCATGTCCATCTGTGTTAGAAACAACAGGCCAGGGAAAGGGCTGTCTTTTATAATTTGGTTTACTCTAATATTGTTAGCTTGTGCTTCAAAGAAAGTTTATTAGCACTCTTTCTTCAGTTGTAATAAGCAGAGTGACCACTGAAGGCAAATGTAGACACTTGGGTATTGGAAATTGTGGTGCTAAAGAAAATGGATTGCTTGCAACAGTATAGAATCAGTGCTAGATGTAAGGAGAAAGAGGCAAGGAAAGGCCAAGGGTTTTATTCCATATGCAGAGTTTGCTTTAAGACAAATGAGCAATGATTTGGTCAGTACTTCATGTGCCTTATGTAGCTGCTGTGATTCAGATGCCTGGCATAGCAGACAGTAAACTGTACTGCTACTGCCTGAAACGTCCCCTTCCCTTTTAATCTTGTTTGTTTTTAGAAGTCAACAGTTGCCTGCTGACAGTAACAGTCAGCTTAAATATTTGGTCTCAATGTCAAATCTCAAATTGTTCATGCATCTCCAGATCTAGTGCCCCATTACTGCCAGCATTATGTATTCTAATGAACGTAGAATGGCATTGAGAATCAAAATTGCAACATCAAAAAGGAAGGAAAAAAAATCACTGCAGCTTTCTTCACTGAGTAACTGTTAATGCTAAAAACTGTTAAACACATTAAAATCCCATTTAGCAAATAGCAGGATGTAATGAAAATTGGAACAATTCAGTGAATACAAATGTGGGATAATACTGGGCGGTTTGTTTCTGTGTGTAAGTGCTTCTCTTTGTTCCAGTATCTGTTCTAACAGTGAACTAGCTGTAGTTCAAAGGATAAATAAAACTTGGCCTTTTACTGACTTTTTTTTTCTGCATTTCCAGATTTTTCTTTTCAAATTGCTAAATTTTTTACTGTTAATGTTATCATTTGATATTTAATATCTTGGAAATTAGTTATTTTATTGTAAGGAAAACTCAAAGGGATGATTGCAAAATAACCATGCAGCAATGAAGCAAATGGGAAATATTGAAAAGTGAGAGAGATCTTACTGCAGATCTGGACAGGAACATGAATCCTCCTCTTAAAATAGTTTCAAGAACCTTTTATAGAGGTGCTAGTATCACCAAATTGGATTCAAGTTTCATTAGGAAAATCTGCAGTGGTAGTCACTCCAAAGTCCAGTTATATCTCTAGTGATGGTAAAATTTCTGCTTTTCTGAAGCTCCCATCCTAATTTCAGAAATTTCCCTTTTTTTCCCTTGCCTTTCATGTCTGTCTTATTGAGAGTAGTCATAAAATTGAGTGAGAAAATATGCTCTCTTAACCGTTCCTCCAACTACTGCAGTAAAACCAAATTATTTTTCTTGGATGTTTTCTTATCCAAAGTCATCCAAATAATTTTCAGGATTTTTTGGCAGTCAAAAGATAAATGCCTTAGTTTAGAGGAAAAAACGTTTGGTTTACATTTTCCAAAATAAACTGATTTTTTTAAAAACACATATCTTGATAGAAAGGTATTTTCTTCTGATAAAGATTTCAAAAGAAGCTTTTCAGGTAGCTCTAGTAACCAAACACTCTGTTAAGATTGCTCTGTGAAGGTAGAAGTCATTAAGCCTCTATAATGTCTTAATGTTCCTTCTGAATTCTCATATGAATTAAGTCTCCAAATCCCTGTTTCTTTCCCCAGATGGATACTGTTGAGGTAAATTATATCTGCTTTGCATATTGCCTGTAAGATTATAGAACGATTTTTGTTGTCCCTCTCATCTTACTTGCATTTTCCAAAAACTAAAAATCATGTTTACTCTTTGGTGAAACAATGGCTGTTTAGCCAATGCCTAGCATTTATTTTTTAAGGGTGATTGTACATAGAATCATTTAGGTTGGCAAAGACCTTTGAGATCATCAAGTCCAACTACATGGAACAGAAAATTCTCCAATTGTGTCTTCTCTGTCATTGGGGAAACCAAGGCCTATGGCAGACGATTCCCTTTTAGTTCCACACACATAATACTTAGATCCTCTTGGATACAGCTGAAATCTCTTTCAGAGGTCAAATCTCCAGAATAAAAATATCCTATAACCAAACCTTAGTAATGTAATATTTTAGAAAGCTGTGGTAGTGGTCTATTAATTTTGAAGACACTGCTTAGTGTCAGATTTGCTATATATACAGTTGCAACGAAAGTTGGCACATGTGGCTTGGAGGCCAGGAGTAGCCTTCCATTTACTGGTACAGTGCTGTGAGACTTTTTCAATCTGTTTTTATCAGTGCATGCCTGACCATAGTCTCCCTCACATGATGGCCACAAATAGTAACAAGCCTACAGGCGTCTAGTTTAGGAAGAGATAGATGAATAGAAAAACATCATTATTTTAAACAGGAAAACATAAACAAGCCACTGAATGTCACTATATAATGTTTGTTGCATCCAGCTGCATTTGTATTCCTACCTAATTTGCTATTTTAACTGTTTCCTGTCTGTTACGTGCAGATTAAGAAGCGTTAGCATTGAAGCTGCTGACCACACTTCAACTGGGAGAAAGGTGGCATCTGCAGTGGAGTTATGTGACTGTCCCCCGGGCTATGATGGTACCTCATGTGAGGTGGGTATCACGATGCATTCTTGACCAATTGTACTAACACTGTGGCAGTTGTAAGCAACCAGTGGCCCTGCGTTGGTAGAAAACAGTAAGTGAGCTTTATTAGAAATAAAGTGAGCTTTATTTCTAGGTGACAGTTCATTATATTCCATAATATTTAAAATCTGAAGTTTTTACACCTCTGTGATTTCTGAGTTAAAAGGCATTGCTCTTTACAGAATAAAAAAAGGCAGTATTTGTACTCTTCAGCCAGTTGGTATTACAAATGCAAGAAACTATCACAATTAGAAGGAAAATGGCAGTTATCTGACTTGTGCACAACAAAGACACATCAAATTATCTGAGTTAAAGTGGTTGAGTTTCATCTTTTGTTTTCACCAGAGCTTTGTCATTTGCCTTGGGGATCTTTGAGGATTATGTGTGAGTTCTTGTGAGGATTGTTTCACTTTAGTTTGATCCTGTTGCAGATAACATACACACATGCTCATAAAATACCCACTTTCCTAACAAATTCATTACTTCACACAGAATGTGTTCCTGCAAGTATACATATTATTATTAACTAGCTCATGTAGGCATAGCTTGGGGTAAATAGAAGAAAAAAAAAAAAATTCTTCAGAAGCTCTGCCTTTAAGGACATAGTTTCAAACACCAAGATGCTCTGCTTCACAAAACTGCAAACGGTATGCCATTTGCACAGGCACTCTAGGCATTTGCTTGTCAACTCTCTTTTTCTTTAAAATGTTTCATGCTTGTATGTGATATTTAGGGCTTAGAGTCTAGTTTCATGCCAAAAGTGGTTGTCTGTTGCTGGGGCTAGATGCACTAATGTAGAAAGAAGGCCTGAAGGAATTAATGGATATTCCTTTTACTTCCAAAATGATACAGACAGGGGGAAAAAAAAATGGAGAAGAATATTGCCTACCTTGGCTGAGAAATAATTTTTAAGTATGACCATTGTCTGTCCAATTATTCAAAGAGAAAGGCTGGATGGAGTGTCATTGTGCTTCACACTTCATTTTTACTTGCCCATTTTTCCTCTCAATTCAGATTTAAGTGTAATTTCCCAAAGAGCAGTTGGAAAGGCCCTGATGGCAGGTGTTTCAATATCTACTTTTGTTGTAGAAGCTGAAGGACTTGGGTAGAATTGTTGCCTTGGTGTTGCTGAAATTCTCTGTCCAACCTTGTCCTTCCATGCCAATCCTTCTCTCCAATTCAAAACAGGTCCTGAAATCTGATAGATACTGAAGATCATATTCCACAATAGAAACTGCCTATACAGATAGCTTCAAATTTAAAGTCTCTGTGCATTCCAGGGCTTGAACACTTTGATTCTTCCTGTTTCAGCCTAGCAGAGTTTATTTTATATTGATTTTTTGCAGGGTTTTAGTTTCATTTTCTCTTCTTCATTTAGTGTAATGTATGTGTTTCTTGTGTAATGGCACAGACACTGCAGCACTAAAAGCAACCATTATTTACTCATTTTCTTGCTGTGAATGTTTTGTTATGATGAGTCTTCAGAAGGTAACCAGTCCCATTTAAAATATGCTGTCTCTTGTGAGATTGTCCCATTACGCAAATTTAAAATTAATTTTCTACAAGATTCTAGTCAAAGAAAATTGTTATGTTTTTGCTAGTATATCTGAGAAATGAACACAGAATTTCATGAGCCTAGGTAATGCAGTTCAAAATTTAAATCTGAAATACCATTTGCACTCATTTATGATAGTTGCCTCACTTTACTCATGTGAACCTTCTGGCTTTTATTTATCAACACCTCCACATCTAATTGCTCCTCTCCACCACATTTGTTCCCTTTTTATGTACTCTTTTACTTCCACTGTGGAAAAAGTTATGTTTAACTTGCATCACTATGATGCTCAAAAACTTAACTAACTTCTGAATGTTACACCATTTTTTTCCTAAGATTCCAATTTGTAATCTTTTCTTTTAGTTCTCTTCTAAGCCTTTTTATTGATATTCCATATCTTTAGATATGGATCCTTTAGAATTGGTGGTTTCTGAAGCCTTATCTTGTGCAATATCATGTATATCTTTGCATGAGATCATTCTTTTCAGAATGGCTGAAAGAGGAAAAGGATTTCTAGATTTAGACAGAAAAAACTTAGGCAGCTGAACCTCATGCCACAGAAAAGAAATAGGGCAATTTCTTTTGATCTGTTTATTTTAAAATTTTTATTTTAAAATTTTTATTTTAAAATTATGATTTTTAACCTGTAGTATTTCTGAGGTTTTGTTAGGAATGTGTAACCAAGAACGAGAAGAATGAAAACTAAGGATAATTTACCAGGTTTTGTAATGTTTTCTTTTAAAGAATAATTTCAATTCTTCTTCAAATTAGTTTCACATTTTGCAGGAGTAAGACAAAAAGGGACATCATCTTTATAAAGGAGAATTTTCTTGTTACCTTAATTGGAGAGTGTATATAAATGGGAAAGGGTTTTCATTAATAGATGATACTTCTATGTGGGGGGTGATAAATTAGAATTGTGTAGGCCATGGAATGGAAGTCTGGACAAGTGTGGAAGCTGAGGTGAGAGCATAGAAAAACTCGTGAATGGCTGACCCTGGGACAGGCTGACATGCTTGACAAGGAAGCAGAGTGCAGAACTTGCTCTGTGTAGTCAGCATATAATTCTGCCATTTGAGGAGAGTGAGGAACCGATGAAGAGTCACCATGACCACCACGGAAGTTCAGAGAACCAATGAAGACTTGCCATGACTTTCTTGTAAATAGTATATAAATCATGTGTGTGTAAAAAATAAATCTCAGCTTTACTACTGAACTGGGTCCGTGTAATCAGTTGCCATACTTCTAGTGTTCTATCAGTTCAAAGTTTTTTCGAAGTTTATATTAGGCAGATGCTTTTGAAGGTCAACACTCTGTCATGCACTTTTTAATTTTATGCAAAGCCTTTGGATCACATCAGCAGTCTTATTCCGGAACGATAGTTTGCAAAAACTATAAAGCCCTTTGTGACATACATTGTAAGGAAGATGACTGCTTGACATCTTCTTACAAAGAAATGGAATAGCTGAATTTTCACTGATGAATCACAGTTGTATGATGTCATCTTTCCTAAGAAAAAAAATAGCCATGCTTTTGATATTGATCTGAATTTAACATTTAAAAAAATAAAAAAAAAGCAGAGCACTTTCTTAAAGAGAAGTAACTATAACTTGTATTTAAGAAGCACAGTTTTTCAATAAAAGAGTGGCTTTTTCTTTCAGCCTGTGCGTTATTTCAGCATAGCCTTCGGTTAGACTCCAAACAAGAAAGACTAAATGGTATTTTAATTGCTATTTGTATCTGAACTTCTCAGAAAATACTTTTGTTATATTGGGGGTTTCTTCCTTCCCTCCTCTCTCCTTCATTATTTTGCCTTCTGGCTGTTTTTCTCTCCATACCTCTTGCTTTGATGCCATAGTATTTCAGTTCTTTATTTCTCTGCTTTATTTTACCGTTTCAGAGGAGAGATCAAGTTAAGGTTTCCTCTTCTAATCTCACACCTGCCAATAAGGCTAAGGTCAGTACAAAGCCATAGCATCAGGAAGAACAACTTTCTAGGAAAATCTTGGTGTTTTTATTAATTTGACAAGTATGTTTTTACATATGCAAGTATCAAACTCACTAATATTTTTAAAATACCATTCCTTTCTTTGTTCAACTAAGAGTTTAACTTTTTAACTAATTGTCTTGCAGTCTTGCTGGCCTCAACACAGGCGTGTGAATGGCACAATTTTTGGTGGAGTCTGTGCACCGTGTACATGCTTCGGTCATGCAGAGCTGTGTGATGATATGACAGGAGAATGCATGGTAAGTGTCACTACAGGAAACTTGATGGAAATGGCCAACATCAATTCAATATACCTGTGCAATTGAATTAGTGACCTCTGAGACATGAAATAGTCAAGGAGGAAAAAAACAGCAGTTAACAGAAGAAATCTTTTTGTTGAACTGTTGCTGAACTTAAAGACCTACTCATACCAAGTTAAGGTAACTTCTACAGTTAAGCAAAAGGAATTTTTTATTAATTAGGATTTATGTTTTAAAATAGAATCAATAATATAAGGTACAGCATGGAGAAGGCAGCAAATACATCAATATTCTTCCATGCAAGATTTATCTCCCCGTCCTATATGTTTCCTGCAGTGTATAGAATGTAGCAAGTAACTTTGTAAATTCTGTTCCAGTATGACAAGAAGATATTGTTAATGGCTTCTTTTATCTCTATTCTTACTAAACCTTGCAGAAACACTTAATAACTTATACTTTAGAAAAATAATAAAAGCATATGATTTGGGCTATATTTTTTTTTTTTTTTCTTCCTTGTAGGCTATGGATATTTTGTGTAGTTACCTGCTAATCCAACAATTAAATCCATGATATTATCCATAGCAAGCCTACCAGCACACCAGTACTTCCAGCCTGCTCAGTAGCCTTTTGGAATGAGTGAATTATGCTCAATAGACTGGTCTGATTAACTCAAGGGCATTTTTAGTTTTATATTGTCTGACATGGCATGAAGCTTGAAACAACATGGCTCATTTCATTAGTCTTGCAGAAACACAATTTGAGCCAGTGCCAGTTTAGTGGGATATCATACCCTCATTTCCTTGCAGAATTTCAAGCAGACTGCATTGTGCATGTTTCTAAATGTTCCCTTTTATTTTCTTAAGAAAAAGCTGCTAGGAAAAATCCAAATTGAAATTTCAGGCTTTTTTTAATGTAATTTGACACTTAGAGTTATCCCCATTCTTTCTGTTTTGCCTATACAGTGTGTTTAATTGCATTGCCTTGCAAAACAAGATATGCTTAATGTGTAGATCAGTGAATTTTTTGGACTGCTTTTTCATGAATAGAAGGTTAAAAAGATTCTCAATTTAATTATACTGTAAGCCTTAAAAAAGTACCTAGGATCAAAATTACGTATGACATGACAGTCATGTTTTAAATCCTTCACTTATATGCAATGAAAATGTTTAGCACTAAGGTAATATTGATTTGTGTTTCTGGACAAAGATAAAATGTATGGCATTAATTACTGTAGCGTCTGGCCATGATGTCTGTAACATCAGTGTGGGATAAAATCAATTAATAGGAAATAAAGGGAAGGGAGAATCCTGTTTAAGTTATAACTATGGACTGTTTTGCTTAGGGGTGCATAGCCATCTGCGAGTTCTGAGATTGCTTACGTCTGTGTCTTCAAGTTTAAGCCCTTGCACAAGTTTCCTCTTTATTTTTTTCTGTAGCACCACACGGAATATGAGAGAAGGCAGTTAGATACTGTGGTGCTTTTGCACTTTTCAGCTGATATGAGCTATGGAATGAGACAGTAGAGCTCCCCCTTCTGATGTTTCAAGGGTGCTGGTGTAGCGAACATACAGCATTGATAAGGAAGTGGAAAATCAGTTGAAAATGTACTTTAATCTATATTATGTTATCAAGCGTTCTGTATTTTTAGTGTTCCATCTGAGCTTATACTAGATCATGCTATGAAGGAGAGTCACACAGGGAGCTTAAAATCAGTTCTGGATTTTCTTGCAGCTTACTTTGAAAACACTGTAAGCAAAGTTAGATTGGTTGGTATCCATGCAGGCTATTAAATGCTGCTATTCAATTTGGATCATAAGCCTTTTGAAGTGAAAGAGAAAAGTCTGAATGCTGAAAAAGAGAAATGTTTCACATCAAAGGCATTCTTTCTATTGAGGTTTACACAGTCTTTTGGCCTCCTTATTATTATTCATGGTGTTTTTTCGGTAATACAACAGACAATTTAGGCACCTAATTTACTGATATGATACTTCTTTTTGCTCTTCCTTAGCTTTGAAATGTAGTTGAAAAGCAGCTGAAATATGTTTTTGACACGTGATAAAAGCTCAAATCATCTACTTCGACATAGTCCTGTATAAAAAGCTCATTTTCACACGTCTTGCAGTAACCTGCAAAGCCCTTTGATCCCACAGCAACCATGTAGAGAGCTGCATGAAAGATCATTCTCGTTACCATTGTGATTTACATAACCACTTTAGTACATAGAGAAAGTTTTAACATTCAGAAATATGCTGTAGGGTTTTGTTGGGGTTCCTTTTTGTGCTTTTTTTTTTTTTTCCCCCAGTAGTGTTACACACATTTACACTAGCTTTTGGAAGTCTGTTAAACTCAAACCTGGTGAAAAGCAAACACATTTCAAGGTGTGTCATCCACTGTAGGATACTGCGTTGCTATTAGTAACCCCAGAGAAAGCTGATCTCTTCCCCCAAAGACATACTCCAGTCGCTAAGTGGGCAGTCCCCAGTGGCACCACTTTTGTGTTTATTCCCTTGTGTGTGAACAGCATATATCAGATTGAGGCCAGTGTCAGCTAGTGGGCATGTGCTTTAGACAGTGTTCCTCACAGAAGCGACTGTTTCTTTCCGTATTCATATATACTTGGCTGTATATGCAGCTAGGCAGGAGTGGGTTTCAGTGTGAATTTAGGGTTTCTTGATACTAGGCAAAGATGTTGATTTGGTTTCTTCCAAGGAGGGAGAACTGTCTCAGTAGGAAATGGTGGAAAACACACTCCAGGTGAGCAATAAAGTCTTTGGTCAACAAGGCCTGAGCTGTACAAAAATACATTTCACAGTCTTACTTAAAGGCTAAGTGAAGTTCAATGGAGTTTGGAGATAAAAGAGGTCCAGAAAATGGATGCATTCAAAGTAGTTTGAGATCTAGTACCTGGAATTTGAAAGCATAAAGATTTGAGCATGAAATCATTACTGGCCACAAAGTCTACAGATCTAAGGAACAAGGCATTGATTGTGCCAAAAAAAAAAAAAAAAACCAACCAAACAAACTAGGTCAACACGTTGGAACAAGCTGCATTTTCCAGGGAATAAAAAGAAAGCATAACAATGTGCTGAGCAGGTTAGGGACAATTGATCATGATCTTCCTTTTTCTAGTCTCGTGACATAAAATAATTTAGTAAATGTTCCTATGATACTGAAAACCTGTACATTTGGCAAGTTTCAAACTGAGATTAAATCAATTTATATCAAGAAAACACAATTTTTTCCTGAGTATTGATAATATGTTTAGAAGAGCTAATAATCTACTTCAGTAAAGTTATCTATAAATTTGGCAAACTAGTATAAAGTTTTAATGCATCACTGAAGAGAACAGGAAAATTATGTCGCTTCTGCGTACTACATTATCCTTTTTCTTTGTCCTGCAAAATCCAGACTGGTTCATGAAGAAAAGTATAGCACCACAAATGATTGTTTTTTCTTAGCTAAACTCTAACATATACACAGCGCAACATGCGCAGATTTTGGTACTATATGTGTGGCATTATTTTCTTTGTTATTTTAAGCTGATTGATTTATGATGAGGATATAAGCAGATAGATCTGGATTGTGGAGAATTAGACACAATACATGGAAATGATGGATGTTTCAGAAAATAATTCATCAAAGAGAAGGTCAGCTTTGTAACAGAGCTTTTTTCCCCTACAAAATGGAAGGTTTCAGGTTTTTTACTTTAAAAAAGCAGATGCTTCAAATCCCACTCTGTAAGAGAAGCAGTTTTAAAATAGTGTTAGCTCCTCTCACTCTAATAACATCCTTGACATATTAGCTGTTCATATTCTTCAAAAACATTACGATATGTCTGAGGATAGCTAAAGCTAAACTTAACACAAAAGAAGAAGCCATTATTTTCCAGAAAAAAAGTACAAATAATTTGACATGATGCCTTAAAAAAGTTGAATTGCAAAGGAATTTTCTTTTGAAACACTTAAATTATTTTTGTCACAGCTTCTTTTAAAAGCATTATCTTAATGTTCCCAGCTACTTTTTCAGTAGGCTTGGTAGATTATTCTTGAATTACAGCACCTGAAGTAACAATTAAATGGACTTAAATGACCTAATGAAGTAGAATTTAACTCAGCTGATGGTTCTAAAGCCATAATTTTGTTTGACTCCGATTCTCAAGAGTTGGTATTAGCTCACAGTCTACCAAATATGTGAAAATGTAATATTGTGACTAATGCTTTCATTTCAAAGATATGCTGATTGTACACACATGTAATAAGAATGCACTCTTTAAAACAGCATTTCTAGAGACGCACCTTTGACTCCAGTGCGCACATGGCTGAAAAGAAGGGTATTGTGATTTTTCAGCTGCCCAAACGTATGGTACTATCTATTCACGACACAATGCAAAAAAACCTTCATATATATCATTGCAATCCTGGAAAGTCATGAAAAGAAATCAGCGTTCCTTAGAATAGTGCTATTAGCTTTATCCCTTATTGAGGACACATTGTATCTTTCAGACAGTAAGACTTTTAACTATCAGTCAGTACCATATGCATGACTTATTGCAAATAAGGAAACAATCTCAAAGTACTCTTAAAAACATTTTAAATTAAATCATAAGGTTGGCAATACCTGCACCTTTAACAACCCTCTTATGCAGCAGCTTGAGTCAAAACAGATTCTAGATTTGATCTGGCCCATTGTCTAAATTGGATTAGAACACACTCCATTACATAAAACCTCTCCAATGACTTTCATTTTGGCTTTTTCAGTCTATACCCAAGCACATCAAGATGGTATTTAAGAACCAAAAAAACATTTGTCCTGCTTTCTCCATTTTTACACTGTGAAAGGACTACCCTTGGTTATCTTGTGGCAAACAACAGTGAAAAGAACAATGTGGTGTTTTAAAAATGTGGCAAAAAAAAAAAAAAAAAAAAAAAAAGTTTAAGCCAGAAAACTAATTTGCTGAGCCTATCATGGATCCTGCTAAATTATTTAGAATTTCTAGTGAGGGGGAAGCAGAAAAGAAGGGGTAATGACTCTTTAAAACTTAGTTCTTAGAAGTTATCATGGTAAACCTATTGTCACAGGACCAATTCCCATTCTGCCAACTGATACTTAGTTTGAGATCAGGCCAAAGGTTATATACAAAAGTGCTGATCTAGTGCTGCCATTTTTAGGCTGGTTCTTTCATACACTCAGATAAACTTTCTCTTCTATTATGAAAGCCAGTCACATACAGCATCACAAAGTGTTGGATGGGGCCTTATATACAGTATACTTATCCTTATCTCTATTCATAATATAGAGTCTGGATGCTCTTCTAGCACAATGATTAATTAAATCATTCAGGCTTTGCTACTGTTCACAAATCTATTCAGTGTCCTGCTAGCTATGTACTTTGTAAAATGATCTAATGTGCTTGGATATGATTTGGAAGAGTTCATTTTTACAAGTTACGTAGTTTGGGCTGTATTTCTGGGATCAACACCTAAAAACTCACAAAATATAGTCTTGTAAGACTGCAATACTAAACCTATTTTGTGCTGCTTTGTTTAGTTTTCTTTAAGCAAGCTAGAACAATAATGCAACTGTTGTATGGTGAAAAGCTAAAGGTCTGCAGTTAAATATTCTTTTTCTGGTTTACATAGAGAATAATTATGCAAAACCAACAAACACCTAACACACATGTAGCACTGACTGTGATAGCTAATCTCTAGAACTGATACTTCACCACCACCAGAAAACAAGAATATATGTTGAAGACCTTTTAAAGTCCTACTGAGGGGGAAGGGCTAGGTGAGTGTCTTCAAGTACCTACCATATTTAAGTTCTCTAACTGTGAATTTTGACTTTGCATCGTCTTTTTAGGACTGCAAACACAACACAGGTGGTTTATATTGTGACAGATGTCTTCCTGGCTTCTATGGTGATCCTACTAAAGGGACAGCTGAAGACTGTCAGTTGTGTGCTTGCCCCTTAAGTATACCTTCTAACAAGTAAGATGTATCTTTGTTAACATATTACACTTTTTAAACTTAGTAAATTGCATGTACACTTGAGAGTCTTTATGTTCTAACTAAATCATATATTCTGCAATATAAATTTTTATTTGATTTTTATAATTGTACAGAGTGCTTTGCTTCACACAGAGGAAAAAAGCTGGATAAGAGTGGGCTAGAAAGAACAAGCTAGAATTTGAATTACTGGTCTGTGAATCAATAACTACTGTTTGGTTTTCTGTCCTCCTCAAGGGGTAGTTGTTTCTAATTTTAAAGCTGAAGTTACAGATTTGATGTGTGGGATTTTTTTATTAATTGAATTTAGAATCAATTTATATTGACCATATAAATAGTGATTTCTTCTGCTTCTAATTTTCCTTTTCTATCAGTCAACATTTAATGGTAATGTTGATTTGTTTGGAGTCCGAACTAAGTCTTACATCTTGCAAGTGAAAATATTAGTCAGCATATATCAGAATAATCACTATAAATTTATTTTACTAAATTAAAATAACAGCAAAATGTTAAACAAAACTCTGATCTAAAACCAAGTATTTCCACTGTTACAAAAACATGTCTGTGCTACTTGCTACCTACAATTGAATAGATGAAGTAGCTTGAATGTTTTTTAATTTTTATGCTACTCAATACCTGGAAAATAACAATACCAAAATCATTTGACATGGTGTAGTTGAAGAAAACTGTGCTGAATCTTGTTCTGGTTAGCTTTTCTTGTGAATGTTAAGAAAAGGAAATTATGTGTATCAGTTTGAATTAGTACATCTGGTTTCTGCCATCTAGTAAGGCTTTGGAGAAAAGGAGATGTGGTGCAAGTAGCACATGTCCAGATTACACAGGGGAAAAAAAAAATCTGCTGTGGTGCAACACATCAAGTAATTGTTCAGGAAGATCAGGAAATACTGAGCATATGTCTGACATGTTTGCGGTAGTAACTAATGCTTGCCCAAATTCTGGCCACAGACTGGATGTGGCTTCCTTCTGAAATGAAGCGTTTCATATAAGTATTTCAGAAAGATTGTAGAATTGTACTGGAAGATTGTAAACTATGCACAGAGGCTGCACCATCCCAAGCTCTTCATACAGATTAATAGTTTTAAGTGGAGCTCATAAATCCACTAGAGTAATTTTTTTTTTTTTTTTCTCCCCTCCACTCAGCCATGCATTCTCTATTTCACACCATTTTTTCCAAAACAGAAGTCAGATTCTGTCAATGAGATGCACTTCACTATTTAAGAACATAAAGAGCATTTGTTAAGGTTTACAGGACAAAACGTGTGGCTACCACCCACTCAGAGAAGGAGCTCTGCAAGATGCGAGTAAAGAAGAGAACATCATCTGAATGGCAGTGTGCCAACATAAAGCACAGCTGAACCAGATTTGGCTTTTAAGTAGTTCAGGCTAACTCTGCTGCCTAGAGTGGCATTGTGTCCTATTATAATTGCACTGATCAGGGCAGGAATAATCTAACCACTTTTCAGCAGAAATTCCAAGGGATTGTAGCATGGGAGCCTGCCTTCCTGTTATCACAGCTCTTCAGTTGGTTTTGTTAGCTGTACATGGGTTTAAGATGTCTGCTGCTGAGGTATCGTTCCTCTGCTGTCCTCATTGCTTTCAGGTACTGACTGTTTCCTTGTATAGTTAATTCTTTTACTGTTTGAGAACACTGTACTGACAAAGCAGGAAGAACATTGTCACATTTATATCTTGTGCAGATATGCAACAAGCCAAGTCAAGTAGATTTAATTTAGGATTTTTTTAAATTTTTTTGGCAAAATGCCTGGAGACCTCTATTATGCATTCATTAGAGTTCTGGCTGCTTTATTTTCCTCTTTTTGAAATTCAACACAAGAGTTCCCTTTTTAATATTTCGTTTTCATGAAAACTATAGGTACAAAACAAACAATGACTAGAAGTGTTCTTGAACTGCAAAACTGTGGGAATCCTGAACCCCACAAAGTTTAGCTCTGAATTAGACCTGTGCAGTAGCTTCCTGTTTCTAAGATGGACAAAAGCAAAACTGTGAACAACATCCTCAAGCTTTGTAGAACTCATTGTAGAGTTCAAGCTCTCCTAACTTTACAGTTCTAGACAAATTATTAAGTTTGTTTATGAGGGGAAAAAAAAAAAGGGCTGTTAAAGATTTCATGTGTTACCTGAAAGCTGTTAAAAGACTGCTTTAGTTGGCAGTGTGTTTGGTATGCTAGGGAAAATATATGTAAACAGTTCAGATTCCTTCACATGAAAAATAAAGAAATTGCTACCGAGGTCATGTCACTGTATAGATAGGTTGTTTCTGAACAATCTAGCAAGTGACTAATTGATGTACAAATGATTATAAATAGCTGTGTGTAGATTTTAATTCATGTAGTGTTTAATTAACATGACATGACAGGGCATCTATAGGTCTCTAAGCTTAATACTGAGTTCATGGCACAGAAAGAATATTGTCCATTGTCTCATTCCCTCTCCTGTTTCCTAATGGCAGCAGTTTCCATATGCAATCACTGAAGCCAATCATAAAATCGCCTTCTGAAGCACAGCAGTGATAAGTGATTCACTCTGTGTCATGAAAAAACACTTGGCCAAATCAGGGAACTAAATCCTAGTTGTCAAATAGATTTCTAATCTTGGGCTATATTTTCCTCCTTTTTGCATATAGCTCCATATTTGTGCATTATGTGATGCACATGAGATCAATGGCTATTATAAATGGCATGTGAATGCACACTTCTATCTCTTCTCATTAATGCATCACTCTTACAAACTGATATAGCATACTTTAAGAAGTATCAAATAACCAGATTTTTTTTTTTTTCCATTGAAATTATCAAACATATTAGTATGCAATGCCTTCTACCAAATGTAGATGTCTGGGATCAGTACTGCTTTTCTCTTGAAGTGGCAATAAACTCAATGTGGGCAACAAAGGCCCTGACAGGAATGTTGAATCTCTGGAAATGAAACCTATAAGGTACCTCTCAGCCTGCGAAGGTCACGTGTAAACCCGTAGTGTTTGGGTTGGTCTCAGAATGTTAGTATTTTCTTGAGGAATTAAGTAACATTAGAAACTTACTCCCAAGAAATGTTTCGTATGACATACTTGTAAGCTTTTAGGAAGTTCTGTCTCCCAACATAGACCTATCACTTATATACCCATATACTGCATATTCATACTTGTCCCATGTCCTGACTGGTATTAATGTCGGTACCTTATCTAAAAAATGAAAAGAGTAATGATGAATCAAGAGGGACTAATATTTTTTTGAAGCTTGTTTTGACAGATCAGTACACACTGTTCATTAGTATTTATCACGTCAGTAATGAGATTCTAAGTAATCAAGAAGACAAGTTATTTTCTTACCCTGCTATCACCTATTTCCTTTATAGTATGCAGATGGGAAGTTCTCAATAAATTAATGTTTAGTGTTGAGATGTAGACTGACTATTAAGACAAAGAATCAAAGGATACTAGCTCTGAGCATAACTGTTAAAATAAGGAAATTCTGCTATTAATTATTCTTGCTTAGTAATAATAAGTACTTAGCTATTGTTATCTTTCTAATTTATGCATTTGCATTCAGAGCTCTTGATGCAGCTATGGTACAGTCAATCTTGTGCCATGCTATAGTGAGCTGTGATACAATCTTCACAAAGTTTCCCATGTTGCTCTTAGAAAGAGTGAGGCTGGGACTGACAAGCAGGATCTTACTTGAAATAAGTCAGATGCTGCTGATTAGTTTCAATGATAATGTGTGCCTCAGTTGAAAATTGCATTCATTGCTATTTAAAAATAGAATGAACATTTATTGCTTCTTTAACTGGCTCCGCATGCATTTTTGAATCTGTTCTTAATGGAATGACATTGCAAAAGAACCTTATGGGAAAGAGGAAAATCCCAATACCTCTCTGCGTTTACTGGACTTGACCTTCCCACATTTTTTTTACTGGTCTCTTTTATGTCTCTGTGATAACTCGCCCTGTTACAAATAGGATATTTATAAATGGAAACTATCTATAACAGAAAGAGTAACTGAGGTCAGATCATAAGATGGATGGCTCCTGAGAAGTGGGGCCCAGTCACCATCAAGTAACCAAGTTACATGATACTAATTAAGCTTTTCTGTCTTCCTTGTACCTAATATTTTCTAGAAACTTTCATCATATATCCTGCTTTAATTTATCTGAGGTTTTATTATGTCTATTTGTTATTATTATAGCATGAACTTTTACCTTGAACATATCTTCCTTCTGTTGTCTTTCTTAGAGCAATTATATTCCTTGTCAACTTCTGTTTTCCTACATTACAAAAGATAAGTTTAGTGTCTTTTCAGATAGGTACTTTGTTTTCCTGTTGTGAGTAGTCACCCCACTGTGCACCTGCTCCCATTCTTTTTTTTTTTTCCTTCCCTTTTCTCTTTTTCTACTTGGTTGACGAGAATGGTTTACCATTATTTAGATGAGGTGCTATAAAGGTGCTTGCATGTCTCTGTCTCTAATAATCATTCCAGAATGATAAAAGGTTTCCTCTTCTGTGTAGTGTCTTTTAGAGTTGAGGAGGTTTCCTCACAAGAATGTGTTAAGGGAGAAAGATTATGGAAAGCAAACTGCTAAACAGTGAAGGAACACAGTTCAGAGTTAGACATTGAAAGGTGGAGGTTGCAAATTCCTATGTTATCTCTATTTATAAAACAAACAAACAAAACCAAACAACTAAAAATAGGTGGAGCATAGCAAAGAGGTAAAGCTCTCTACTCTGCAAACTGTTCTTAAACTTCAGAGTGCCCGTCTGGCCTGCTGCTGAGGTCATTGTTACTCAAATGCGCTCTTTGGGAGGCTGCACCAGATAGTTCACTTTTTGCCCCTCCTCTTTCTTGTTCACTGGGTTCCTTTCACAGCCGGTTATACACAAAGTTAACTGAGCTTTCAAATCAGTTGTCCGTCAGGAAGATATATATAGGGGCCACATTATGGCATAGCTTATTTTGCCAGACCCTCGGGGGCGCAAACAAACAGCTGTACATTCCTGCCTTTATAATGGTATCCAGACCACTCGGTGGCAGGCTCAAGTCCCGTAATAACAGGCTTTTGGGATGCTGCCATCCAGTACTCTATATTCAGTGTCGCAGAAATAGCAGTGTCATTCCAAATTCTATTTGCTGAGGTCAAACTTAAGCCCCATGTCCTAGTGCAGAATCACTTTTCCTGGACGCTGTTTTGCAAATTAACGATCTCTGAAGTGGGGAGACAGCTATGCTGCTAACAGTCTTTTCTTTATGTTTCTTCCTTGTCCCTCTTCTTGCCCAATATCAACAACACAGCTTTAGCCCAGCATGCCATTTTGAGCGAAGTCGTGGATTAATATGCGATGAATGTCCAGCTGAGTACGTGGGACCACGCTGTGAAAGGTAAGCAAGCACCACAGGAGCTCTGAAACAAAAGCACTGGTTGCATGGAACTGCGACCTTCTCATTACTCCCCCTTCTCATCCCCATTCCTGTGTTCTGAAACTCACTAAGAAAATTCCTGTGCGTCTTCCCCTGATACTGTGTCCATGCATTTGCATATTTCTAGTGCTTGTATTACTTTGTGGTAAAGTGCAAAGTTTCCAAGAAGCATTTGCTATGAAGAGTCTTTTTCTTAAATGATTTTTCTAGCCTTTCTGTCACTCTTCTGAGATTTTTATAATTATTTTGTCTCTCCTGTCATTTGAATGTTTAAAGCATGGTGAATGAAGTATGCAATGAATTACTGATACTGATTTTTCTTTTGGAAAAGTTAATACGCAGCAAAAATATAGTTCTAATAAATTATTTGTTGATTTTAATATTTTTTTAAATAATAGTTTACATTTTTCTTGCTTTTAGTTTCCCATTGCAATCTTTATTTAGCAGGTAGAACAAGCTAGGTTTTAACAACAAAAAAAAGTTTTCCTCTTTTTCAAATACATAGAGAAGCTCAATATACCTTCCCTAAGCTTATTGCTACCTATACAAAAGACGAATTTTTAAAAATGTATCTAGCATGTCTTTGCCTGTGACAGGTCTGAGTGGCACGTTAGTACTGAGAGAGAAAGTTCTCTCCCATTCTTATATCCTGTTATTCTGAAAGGATCAGATGGAGAATTTAAATGAAAGAGAAGGCTAGTGTGAGTGCTGGTGCTAAGCTCCCAGGAACCCCCTTCCACAGGATGTGAGATGGCACAGACAAGTGATACCACGCTGTGTGTGCACACCTTCCATCCCTTGGGTTTCACATGGATGGAACAGCTTTCAAAGGCGGCTCATGTGCCAGGGGACCTCTGCTAGCTGTTCGGAGGTCACGATGAATCAGCACTGGCTTTGGCTCCATGATCCAAGTCCCCTGTGACCCTGCAAATGACACCTTTTTAGGAGGGGCTGGGGGAGCCAGATAAGTGTCTAACCCCTGGCCAGACAGTTACGGGGCATGAAAACATCGTACTTATGTTTCTGAGGAGGTATTTGCCATTTCTACTTCCATGAGCTGCTTGCAGCGTTTTCCATTGTAAACCCTGCAAAAAGGTAAGGCTTCTGAATGATGACTTACAATATTAAGGCTGGGATGAGGAAAAGTAGGAGTGAACTAAGAGGAAGAGCCAACCAGAAAAGCAGGAACCTGGCCATACGCTGTTAATTGCCATCTAGTCCTGTCTTTCCAATTTACATTTACAACTACTTCCTTTTAAATCCTCTGTTGTGCTGTATCTGTTGTAAAGTGAGAGTGCAGGCTGTCACCTGCTTCCACCCATCGTCACTGAGTCTGCTCCTGCTGCATGCTATTTCTGCCTGTCTTTTCCTGTCTGTCTTGGAAGTCATCACCTTCTTTCAGCTAGTGGGCTGTGAAGTTAATGATGGCAGGAATAAATCACATCAAGAGCACTTTGGTGGCAGCTTGTCAATGCAAGGTCATTGACAGCTTCCATTAGCAACAAGTGCTATTTCTGAGTGGAGCACAGGCTGTAGATTCTATAGGATAGAATCTGAATAAGTGGCAGGCTTGGACTTTAGCCTGGTTTCCTAAGGAAATTAAGCTAGTGTGATCATTTTGTGCATGTCTGTCTGGCTGCCCACAAAGACATTTGAACTTGTAGGCCAGTTTCAACCAATTTTGACAGAAGGGTAGGAGGTCTCAAAGACAATAATTGTTCCCAAAGATTTTGTGAAAAAAAGTGGCTGAACAGAGGTTAATAGATCAGGACATGTCATAGCTAAGGGGGAGAACACTGTGTGAACTCACACCTGATTAAACAGCAGAGAATACATGAGAGAGAGAGAGAGAGAACAAGAGAGACAGATATTATTAAATGTTCTGTCCATAAGAAAACTTTCACAGGGTAAGGAAAAAGCACTGCTGTAGTCTGGGGGATTACTCCCTGCTAAAAGGCAACATCCTGCAGCAAATAATCAGCTCTTAGTCTTGTAACCATGAGATGTAAACCCATTGGAAATTAGGCCATTAATTCCAATACTCATAGAACTATTTGCTTTTAATTGTAACAAGTTGCTTGGGAATGCTCACAGCTGTCAGTAATAATGAACAGGAGAAAATGTGTTGCCTTTTGCTATTAGTAGTGATTGTATAACTGCTAAAAAAATTTACATGAAATTCTTTCATTTTAACAACTGCAAAGTGACAAGTGATTTGAGCCACGTGATTCATTAACTGAACAGTTCTAAATAATCATGAAGTGAGCATACACAGTACTGTACTTATTTGACCCTTAAAGTCATCCTCTACCCCCTATGTACCCCTAGGCAGATAAAATCTTTTGTTTATTTGTGTATATATTTTTACACCTGAGCTGTAAAATGTTAAAAAAAAATCTGCCACTTCTTTCATTTGAACTTTTCAGGAAAATGTTGCCGAAATCACTCGGTGTTCTAAGGAGTCCAGCTCATAACTCCATCAAAATAATTGTGAATGTAAACAATGCTGCGGGTTCCCACATATTTATAATGGTAGAGAAAGCCCAGTTTCCCTGTTTAATTCTTTTCCCCGGCAAATTAGACATGTTCTTACTTTGCTCACAGCTCACTTTCCCAAGAAAGGACACAGACACTCCTAAATGCATAGAAAGGGTGTATGAGAATGTCAAAAAGCTGTCTTTTGAGCCCAGCACATTTACAGGATAATAATGTACATTTTCCAACTACACAGTCTTGGTATAGACAAGAGCACACAGTTCTAGGGAGAAGAAGCAAAATGGGTGAGAGTCCATCTTCTCCTGTAGCAGTCCTTCATTTATGAATATGGTTCCAGTGACCTTTTCCTCCTAGGAGGAGAAAGGTCAGTGTAACGTAAGTGGGAGGACAAGGGTGAGCTGGGTTATGTCGTCCCCCCATCCCCTCTTCTTCAGATCTAGCACAGAATGCCACCAGCCACAGCCACTTGTGAGTCCCTTGGCTTCAACCTGTTGCTCCTTCTAGCTAATATAATTCTTCCACTGCTGCCAGAAGTACGAGTCTGTATTGCAGTGCTGATAGGAAAAGGGTCAAAGATTCATGAGATTTACTACAACAAATGTGTTATGCAGGACTGTTTACAGCTTGCAAAGGTAGGCACTCTGGTGTTAGCAAATGCAGGATTTATTGTTGGTCATACAACAATAACATCTGTGTTGTGTACCTGAGTTAAGGTTTTTAACTGTGTGTTCACAGGCCATTTCTCTACAGGGCTTTTGCCTGACTTTGTACACAGGTTGAATGCACATAAATTTCAAAGCAACAGTAGAAATAGCATTTCCAGACTTTAAAGTGTTTGAGTTTTCGACCTAAATTACCTCTGTCTCAGCGTATTTTTTTTTCTAGTAAATATAAAGAAATTTATAAAATAGACCTGTATTTGTGTGCATATATGTATGTGTATATACACAGCATCATACAGGCTGCAACAAAGAAAATTAACTCTATCCCAGTCAGACCCAGTATACATACTTACAGATATATTTATATAGTAGCCATATATTGGGCACCAGTTATGCCAAATGAAAAACAACAGTGTTAGTCACAGTCACATCTGCTTTTGAAGATAAAGTTAAGCATAGAGGAAGAAAGAAAAATACAGAAACAATCTTTCTTTATGGCTTTTTCTCCCATTTTTGTTTATTTTTTTCATCTCAGAGGTGTTCTGTTGTACTTGGCAGACGTTTATTTACGTATGTATTTTGTGTAATACATAAATGTAATTTTACATGACACATATATTATTGTGGTAGGGTTTTTTTAATAGAAACATTGCCAAACATGTAATTCTTTGAATCTGAGAACAACAGCCGAAGTAGAAATCTCCTTAAGGTAATAAAGATGGAATTAATGAAAATGGATTTGTTTAATCTCCCCCTGCAACTTCAGAAGTTTGAGAAAAAGTGGAATAATTTACACATAGATACATACACACAAATTTCTTTTAAGTTTAACTGGTTTACCTCTATTTTCAGGATCATCTTGACTCTAGATTCAAGATTATATATGTATACGAGTGATGGTAGTGGGCTTTGCTAATTTTAATTAGCAGAGTCTAAACTGATGAGAATATGAAGAGTTATCAAGGCCTCCTGCTATTAATAGAAGGAAATTATTAGCAGTGCATGTTCCAAAAATCCCTGGAGTATTTTTCTGTGAACTGCTTCACAGGTTTCTGTGAATGCTGTCAGATACAGAACTAACCCCTAAATGAAAGTGAAAGAGGAAAATGAATACATATTAAGTGAAGTCAAATAGATTAGTAATACCAAAAGAAACGGATTTATGACAAAAATGCCAGTAATAAGTGAGAAAGGTCTCAGCAAAGCATGAGTGAACTTCAGACACCATTTATTTAATTTTAGGTGAAATAAGATAACTGCGTAAATTATCCTGTTATTCTTTGGCTTTGATAAAATATAGCTATTAATTGTTATATCTATTAAGAGACATTCCTGTCCTTTGTAACTGAGGTATCATCACTGAAAAAAAGCAGACTTGTTTGGTGAAAGTAAGCTAAAAATTAGTCTTTTTTAGTTTCTGAGATATACTCCATCCAAGGGAAAAATACCCATTTCTTTGCAAGGAATGAAAGGAGGTACAATATGCAGCTACATTCCTGACAGGTTCTGAAAATAAAATGCCTGGATTATTCTCATTACAAGATTTTGATATATTGTTGGTACGAGGAAGTAATTGTGAGAGATGGCTGTGCTAAAGGAATAAAACACTGTGGGATAGGTTGTGCAAATTTTAATCATGTTCTTGAGTGCTTACAAGCACCCAAACCACTGGGCTGTTTATACATATTATTCATCTATTGTCTGTACAGTAGTTATTTTTAGAGTGGAAAAAAATCTGACTCTGTGTAATATCTTACTATAAAAAAAATATTAAATTAACTATTATTTCCTCCCTAGTTTCAGTTATCCATTTTTATAATCTTTGCCAATGATACTGAATAGTACTTAATAAATGTTTAGATGGCTTTGTTTAGGCTTCAGTTGGAAGCTTCATGAGATATTCTGGATGGAAGGAAAAGGATGAACTTGATAAACACAAAGGGACAAGAGTGAAAGCATAGTGAAGCTCTGCATTCCTATATTAGAATAGTTCCCAATTCCTTACTTGACCATTCCATGCAGTACTATTACAAAGCAGAGAAGGTTTCTAGGTACATAAGAACTGCACTCAAACCAACTTTACAATAGCAGGAAACAATTTATGCAACGTGTTTTATGTATTTTCTGTTTTCTTTACACTAATTGGAGTCCATCCGAGATGCACATGAATAACTTCATTAGCTGGAACTGGGCAATTTTTCTTCTTTTTCTTTACTATCTGCAAGTTGCTTTTGCTGTGAAGTGTGCGCAAATGTAATGGAAAGGGAAAGCAGATCAGAATATAAATGGGAAATGGTCTGTGAGATGAGTAGAAATTTGCTTTCCATACACGCTCATGTTAGGTCAGATTCACTAACCTGTTTTACATGGTGCTCATAGGAAATTGCTTGTGGGAGAGGTGGAAAAGGAGGTTATATTTTTAAACACCTCTGTTAAAATATGAGAAGTATAGCATACACCAACATAGTTCCTGTGAAAATGAGGAATCTTTTTATTACTTGCCTATACACAGAGATTAGCAATCCATTAATTAAACAAATCTGACCATACAGTAGATCAGGGGAAGGCTAAGTCAGTGGAGGATCCTGTGAGTTAAATTTACACCTGTATTGCTTTCCAAACCTGTTTTTCTAAGCTAAACAAGCTTTTTTAATGTGGAGGAAAAAAATAATCAGGCTTGCTAGTAAATGAGTACAGAACATCTAGACATGATGTGCTGAAATACAAAGCCTATCAAGCATGGACCTGAATTCCTCTAGTGTGCCAATAGACAGTTTTCTTATTATGCTTTGTCTCGTCTTCAGTGCCAGTGACAAGATTTTTCTCCCACCGAAATCTAATTACTAGCAGAACTGGCAGGGATTTCAGCTGGTACTGTATCTACAGTGTTGTTAAAAAAGGAGAAGGAGAGAGAGAAAAAAGACCCTTAAGAAATACTTCAATGAAAATCAAATCATTTTTTGGTGATTAGTGAGGCAATAAAATTAAATACTTCTAATAAAGGTATTATTTAAGGGTTCTAACTGGTGATGTGTTTTACCTTAGGTGTGCAGAAGGCTATTTCGGACAACCTCTAATACCAGGGGGATCGTGCCAGCCGTGCCAGTGTAATGACAACCTTGACTTCTCCATTCCTGGCAGCTGTGACAGCTTGTCTGGTGCTTGCCTGATATGTAAGCCAGGTACAACAGGCCAATATTGTGAGAGGTGTGCTGATGGATATTTTGGCGATGCTCTTGATGCAAGGAACTGTCAACGTAAGTCATGAACTTCTACCACTCCTTGACAACATTGATCTCTCCTATAACCGTGTTCGTGAGAGGAAAGACTGTGCTTGTGTATGTGTGAGCAGGAGAATGGTACAATGTACTCCTATCTCTAATAATAGCGTTTTACTTACATCTGCATCTGGAAATGGAGGCTTCAAAATAAATAGAAAGAAGAATCTATTTTAAAACTTCCTGCTATAGTTGAAGCAGTAACGAAGCAGACGTGGAAAAAAACTGGGAGAGCAGAGCATTTTACGAATGCAAAAGGTTATACTAAATGTCAGATCTACAAAAATAAATACAAATAAATGAAAACAATTCACTGAAAAAACTATAAACCATCCAGATAAATCTGATTAACTAGTGAGATTGGTGCTGAAAGGAGGGAGTGATATTTCAGCTACTGTAGGGTCCAACTCTAGCAGCTCTTTTGACTTACTTCCCACCTACATGACCTCAGTAAGAGTTGGGAGCTGCTGCCTCTTACAGGGCAAGAGTTTCCCACCTCCTGCAAAGCATAGTCTAAAATCTCCTGACAGATTTTCTAAGGTGCCATAAGGGAAGATACCTGGCAATGGGTGCTACCATTTCTCAGCTCCTTAGCGGCATGTTGTTTAAACACCCACCCCAGCTCATACTTCCCCATAGCACTGGCGAAATATTACTGAAAGCAGATGGAAGATTTGGTAGGAACAGGAACTTTTGGTTCTATAGAAGGCAGTGTCTCTCTGAGCCATCGCTGGCACAATTCAGAACAGAATTAGGAAGAACAAGTGCTTTTAACTTAAAAACATCTGTAACATAACCTTCCACCCCATTCTGAGGAATGGAATAGAGCATATTATTTCATTTTCACAGGGATTTTATCCTTTTTGATTCATTGGAATAAACTAAGAGCAACTCCATTGAATACAAAGGTGTCATATTAGGATAAATTATGCAAGTAAAAGAGCTGGGCCATTAACTTGCTGCCCTGTGTGTAGGAACACAGGGACCAGTTCTGCATTATGTGATGCAAGCATGAAAGTATGAGCCGCTGGTGTCCATCTCCAAAATTTGCTCTATTAGTGGCTTGCAGTTTGACAGCAATAATCCTAAATTCTGTTGGACCACCTAAGACTGCATGGAAGCAGCAGTGACAGCGATGCAGAACTTCACCAGGCTTCTCAGCTAAGGCAAACACTGATATATATATAAAATCATAGGTAACTATGGAGACACATACCTGTGTAAATGCCTTCTCTGCCTGCTTTATACAATACTGGATAAAAGTTGGACAATCACATATATTCTGTGCACAAGTTAACAGTTCATGATGAGTGATGTCATATAAGCTAGGTTGTTACATGTGTAATGTCATTTAAAAAGAAGTGTATTTCAAAAATCATAGCTTCCAGTTTGTCACTCTTCCTGGGGCATTGATAGGACTGTTGCTTTGAACCTTTCAGCAGTGGTTGCAGCTGCATGAGAAAGAGATGTAATATGAGAAGAATTCGGGAAACATACAATTTTTAAAAAGTATTAAAAATAAATACATATTCAATGTAGAAGTACAAGCTTTGCTTTTGTTGTTAGTATCCCTGACAAGGAGAGCCCCCTAATGTGTTTATAGTCTTGTGCTCATGGTTGCCTTATATTCATCTACTCTCTGTCTTTCATGTAGATTGTCTTTTTTGCATATGATTTATTTTATTTCCTTTGCAGACTTTCCTTTGCCCTGCAGCTACAGTATCAGAAGGACCGTACCTTTACTTTGTTGTTTTCAATTTAATTTCTTATTAAAAAGCCAAACCCAAGAGGTTGCAAAGCATGAATTTTGCTTTTAAATTATTGTTTGAAGTGTTTTTTTGCTCTTTGTCAGTACTGTGCTGTTGTCATGTGCATTAACCATTTCAAATGACAGTACCAGTTTATATCTCTATAGCATCTCTGAATTTCTTGATGTATCTGTACAAAATTGTAAATATAAGAACAGCGAGCAAGTGTCCTAGGCTTATTTGATTTTATTCTAGTAGACTGCTATTTGGTGTGAAACAGCACAGTGTGCTGAAGCAAATGCCTTGAAGCTGCGCTGACGGTAACAGAGCTAAATGACATGAGATGAATTAAAGCAAATATTCAAGTGTGCCTACATGCCAGTGCATAGATAATAGTGTTAGAGGAGACCAAGTGTGTAGGTTGATTATAAAGACACACTCATAAATATTTAGATTAATCTAGAGAGAATGAAGGGTCTTGACCATTGTCATTTTAGGAGAAAGTAAGACAAATTTCTCAGACAGGCTGTATTGTGTTATAGCAACCATTTGGAGGTTTAGACAATAGCTAATTTTCCCAGTAGAGGTGAATGAATGGGAAGGCTTTACGTGAGATAAATGCAATTTATCAGATTGACTAACAGTTTATTAGATTAATAGCCTTGACTGTGTTTCGTCTGAGTGTATGTACTGCTAGAGCCAAGAAAAACTTTCAGATTCTGCCTTATCACTGCAATGCACTCAGTCATCTGTGGCTGAGTTAAGAATACATGGCATACCATTTGCAATAATAGAAGTAGGACAAACTCATCTGTTTGTAAAATCAGTGTAAATTTTCTTTTTGATTCTTGTGGTGTCATATGCCCAATAAGCAGAACTATTCAAATAAGACTGGCTTCAGTTTTTGAGGGTCTGTATAAAAAGGTTGGTGAAATACTGTAAATTTGCATTGAGAGTAGTGGTTTTTTGTCTGAGCTTTCACACCATTTTGCACTGCTGACCATTTTAATTAGAAAGCTACTCAAAACATATATATATGATACTTATCACTGTGTACAGTTTGGAGTGTTGGCAGTTTTAAAATGTTAATATTATGGTAAAGAAGGGGTCTGTATACGGGATGAAAGAGGTAAATTATGGATTCAATTAGTGTTGAAAAATTAGAGTAAAGGGAAAAGTGATGTTAATTATAGCAGAAATGTTTTTAAGTTTTTAAATTTTAAAAATGTTGCAAAACAGAGATATAAAAATTTCTGAAGGTGTTACCAGACTGATATACTGGAATAAGCAACAAAAATTTGTTGGGCTCATATGAGACATCTTTGCAAACATTTAAGAAATAATGCCATGAACAGACTGGCAAGCCATAAAGTCACTTTCATTTAAAAGAAGCAACTTTTGCAGAATACCTCAATAGCAGGGAGAAAAACAGGAAAAAAATCCTTTTAATTTACAGTTGAAATTTGTGAATTGGCAAGTCCAATAAAGTAATGTTGGAATAGTATACATATAGAAAAAATATAACTGATAATTGCTTTGTCTTAAATGGCACCTTGCAACATGCAAGTATGTGACCACCATGGGTTCACTGTTTGGACTTAAGTGTTTCTTAAAATGAAGCTGCCATGTTGAGAAGAAAAAAAATAGCACATACAGTCAAGGCACTGCAGAAAGACAGAATGTTAGCTGGAGCCCTGGTTTACAGAGTAGTTTCATAATCAGTATAGAGATATGGATGCATTCTCCACTGAGAGAAAGAAAAGGCATGTGCAGGAACCAGCTCATGCTGGTGAAACTAGTGACTGCATGGTTTTAGTCTCTGTGACACCAGTCACAAAACTCTTCACTACTGTGAGTGCTAAATGGATTTTTTCCTAATCTCTGCATGCCAGAAGAGTTGTGGTTGAAGAAAAAGGCTGATGGAAAGCTTCCACAAAATTTCTATTCTTCTAAATGCAAGAATTTATAAGACAGAAGCATTGTTATTTTCCTCAAGAAACAGTAGTTCCTTTTGATTGCTGTTTTAAATCTTTGAGAGCATTATGGTGAGTTAGGGTGATCAGTTGATTGTTTCCTCTGCGAACTGTGATACCGTTGCTGAGAGAGAGGTCCCAGAGAGTCCCAGTAGCAGATAACCCTCAGTCTCTTTTGCAGCTCTACTCCAGAGTGCTGTCTGTGAGAAGGAGCTCTTGCAGGGTGAGGAGGTTACTGCCCCCATAGCAAGGCCCTTGGAGATAACCTTGTTCTGGGTCCTCAGCCTGCCAACATTTCCTGTCAGCTGCATTGACATGAACGGGACTCCAGGGCAGCAGGACCAACGTATGGAGCAGTAACACTCCCACCTGTCATAGCTACATCCCATACACACTCCGCGTAAGGATCTGGACCTGGAGGTTTTGTTCTTTCCATGCCACTCTGCCCACTCCAAGTTTTGGGGCATGTACTCAGTCATGTGCCCTAAACATGCTGTTTTGATGTGAGAAAAGCATATGAAAGAAGTTGTTTATGAACTTGAGGCAATATTTCTCACTGCAACAATTTGGAGCAGAATGCCACATTAATGAGTGTTGTCACCGTATGGGAGTGACACCTTCATGCTTTACTCAGGCCCGCCTTCCTAGATTTCTCAGGGTGGCAAAACTTGCACTGTAAACATTTGGCTGCTAAATTTACTTTCAAGAAACACATTAACAGCTCCTTCTTCTTCCACTGCAGCCTGTCACTGTCACATCAATGGCTCCTTCTCACAGATCTGTGACTCTCGGACAGGCCAGTGCGAGTGTAAACCCAATGTGACCGGGCGCCGGTGCAATGTCTGCAAGGTAATTGAAAAGAAACAGTGTCTCCTTACAGCTTTCTTCCCTGTTTATCATAACTAAATATCATTTGCATTTGGATAGGTTGTTTGGTGATTGTTGTTTTTTTTTTTTTTTTTTTTATTATTTTTCACTTAAAAAATAAAGCATGAGTTGTTCTAATATACAGAAAGGTAAAGTAGTTGTGTTTTAAATATTTTCTAGAACAAAACACAGAACATTGCATTTGCAGGCAGTGAATGTATTTTAAAACTCACTGTGCATATAAGTACATTTTTATATATTGTATATATATTTTATATTCTGAATGTTTGATATAAATTAATTAGTTAAAGATATTACAACTCCATTGAAGAATCCCTCTATGAAGAAAGTTGCAAAGTGTCTGGTACCATCTGTTATTAAAAAAAAAAAGTAGGATACTAATCCACTTCTTGCTGTGAATGTTCTGCTTTAATGTTATTTTTTTTTTTCTTAAGTTTTCTGCTTGTATTGTCCAAATAATTCATTCTTTTTTGGTAAAAGCATCTTCTGCCTTAATGTTGTTTTGCTGTCTCATAAATCACTGCAGAAAGCAGTGTTTCATAAACTTTCACAGATTTGTCTTCAGGCTGTTAAGAAATATGTTATAGCTGTTTGTACATTTCTCTAGCTGAGCATGAGGACTCGTGGATTAGGCATATATCCTCAGAACACCTGTGTGTTTGTGTGTAACTTAAAGCACATAAATAATTCTGCAGAAATCACAAGGATCATTTTCACCCTTTAAAACTGCGTAATTTCTGAAGTTGTTTGTTAAAACTATTTTCAACAGGGTTTAAAGAGTCTGTTCAAAGAAAAACCATTAGTATCAATGGAATTTGAACAGATTGCATAACACACACAGAAAATATCTGTCTTGTTAATACACTATTGCCAGTTCATTGGAAATAAATCTTTTACTGCTGCATTTACTACTGTCTTTATTCCTGTACTCTTTTATGTGGTGTAGTTTCATTGTCTTCACTTTCTAACAGTGTTTATTTTTCATTCTTAAAGCCCAACTACTTCTGGGCCCCAGAAAAGCTGTTTTGTATACCCTGTGGCTGCAGTACTTTAGGATCCATGTCACTGCAGTGTGATATGTCAGGAAAATGTATCTGCAAATCAGGATTCATGGGCAAACACTGTGAAATCAGCAGACAGGTGCCTAAATTGAAAGAATATGCACGAAGCAGTCAGCAGATCCGAGTTTCCCCTCGGAGATGGGGCATCAGCAGTGCCAGTGGGTGCCCACGGGGTGCTTACCTGCCTGCCACTCTGGTAATCAGAAACTCTGTGCATTGCATGGCCTGAAGTCTCATATTTGCTTGTGTTTGGAGCTCCCAAAGTTTTTGGTTTTGTTTTTTGTTTGTTGTTTTTTGGGGGTTGGTGTGGGGTTTTGTTGGGTTGAGGTTTTTATTTATTTATTTATTTATTAAAAAACATGTGCTACAATATATGAAATGATCAAGCAAAAGACAGGCAACCTTTTAGGATACTTCCCCACTCCTCAGGCTTCTCATAGTGCAAAGGACAATACAGGCCAGAAGTCAAATTAGACTAGACTAAGTCCAAAACCAGCACCATCAACAGCAGCATGCACAAAATGTGTACAGCAGTGGGATTTTCGTGGCCTTCCTCTTCTAACAATTCAAGAACAAAAACCTTAAGGAGTTTGCAAGAAGGATCAGCTCCAAAGGCCAAGTGTTAAGATCTAACCTTAAAATATCAGACATAGTTGGTGTCAGAAGTCCTCATTAATGAACATAGCCTGTTATACAAGCCATTTTTAACTGGGTGAAATGCCCATTATTCGAATTTAATGCCATAGTGACAGGTGTATTTATTGTTTATCACATACCAACAAAGCAACCTATTTGCTAAAATGAAGAGGTTATGATGCAACTGCTTCTAACAGAGCAGTGGTTTAGCAGTTTGTTTTTCTTCCCAGCAACTCAAAACCTCCACATTCATCCCATCCTGTTTGAAAAATACCTGGCAATGTTCTTCCTTCCCAGCCAGATTCTGGTACCTATGGCATATTTGCTTGTATGGATTCCCTTGGAGAACATGTGCTTTTACCCATTTAACATATACTGTGTAACTGTCACCCACACAAACACTTGACATAGGCTGATACAGGGAAACAATATGATAACATATTCAGAAATTTCATCATATTTCCTCATTGTCATCCAGGATCTTCTCTCTTGTTCAGTGCATGTGATTCTTAGAATTTATGTGTGTAAACAAGCTTCACTGAGGACTTAATGTAGGAGTTCATCTTGGGGGTTTGCATGGCTGATCAAAATGTTTTTGACTGTGCAGAGCTCATCACAGAATGCAACCTAGCATGCTAGCAATCCTGTCTTCCTTCACACAGTGTCAGGTGCTAGTATCAGAATTTTTCTGGCTTTTACAATTATAAACAGAATTTATTAGATCCTATCAAGCTTTTTTTATTAGGAACTGAGATGCATGCTGTGCTTTGGTTACTTCACTGCATTAATCTGTGTGCTGAGATTTTTGCACATTCACATTTCTGCATGTTTCTTCCTGTGAGAAATTTTTAGAGATAGTTGGTGTATTTAATTGAACTTTGGAGTTTGATTTATATGAGTTTGAGTATTTCTTTCTTTATGCTACGCTGTATTTTGTCATGGATAAGTGTGTAACTGGCAAAACATTTCAATATAGAATTTGGAAATAAAAAACTGAGTAATTCTTTATTATATGTACAGTCAAGCATTTGCTTACGTTCCTATGATTCTTCAGGCCAAATTCTGACCGTAGATGTTGTCCCATATTCTGATACCTATCAGTAGATTCTCTGTGAGAATGTAGAACTTCAATATTACCCTCAGAGATCAGCTTTCAGGACATCTACATGGAAACCTGATGAAGTCTCTGTGAATTCACTTTGGAACAAATCCATGTAAAATACAAGTCAGTGCAGCTCCACTGACTTGAAAAATCTGTACTGATGTATACTAGGTAAAAATCTAGCACCACATGCTTGGGTCATATAGTAGTATATTATAAAAGTAAATATTTTCCACTTTGTTCCATTTATATTCATTAGCAGTGATCTTTTTAATATCTAATTTTTAACATTTTGCTTTCCTAGTGAAGTCTTTGATAGATTTTTACTGTTAAATGTCATAATATCAATTTCAAGTGAAGTTACTAATATGATTTGGATTTCAGTATTCTCTGAAAATCATCATGCCTGAAAAAAAAAAGTATTAAAGGACTCCCATTTTAAGTCATTCTAGCTCAAGACTGAGTTCAGAATTTGAATATCAAGTTCGATTTGCTCTCAGGAGCCTCTGTTATCTGATGCAGTGAAACTCATGGGGTCTGTTGGCTAAAAGCTTCATGGAGAACTCCATATTACAGAGTAGAAATGAGCACATGTCTTCCCCTCTTTACAAGTGTATGTTTTGCTCTCCGCTACTGAAGTAAAGGAGGAAATATATTACTATAGTTGATAACATTTATTTGGTTCTGTAGGAGCTTTGCATTACTCACTGCAAAAGAGAAAGGGAAGAATAAAAATAGAAGAGAAATAGAGGCTCATTTATTACTTTTGTCTGAGTCTTAGACCTGACCCAAAGACACTGGTTTTATCTTAAAAATAGATAATTCCCATTATTTGCTTGTAATGTGTACAAATACATTATGTTCTTCCAAAGTTGTTCCTAAATATAATTCAAAATAAATGCCCTCGAGTTACAGAATACTGTGTACAGACATTACCCTTAGTCAGAGGAGATAAAATCTAGTCGTGCAGAGACTTTCCAGTTGAATCAATCTCCATTCATAGCTGAGAATTTCAATTCACTCTCTTATCAACAAGCGCTGCCTGACATAATCTTACTGCCCAGACACAGGATATGTATGTGGTGCTGACATACGTTCCGTTCCTTGTGGGAGTTGTACTAATGGAAACATAGCCTCGTAGATGTGTTACATTGCAGAACATTCATTATAGCACCAGGTAACACTCTGAAATATTTGCACTTTTACCTTTTAACATACTTTTTCAGCTATGCAGGGTATTTAGGGCTCCCCATCATTTACCACTACAACTCAACCTGTTAAGAGTAGTACTTCAGTGACAAAGAGGAAAGAACCATCCTGATCAAGTTATACTGTCAGCTTTTCCTCTTTTCTTACGGTAATAATTCCATGTACAGACTGTTCTTCCTCTCTCTGTGGCAGCCTGAAACATTTGGCTTACAGTCTTCAAGAGGATGTGTTCCCTGCAACTGCAACTCTTTTGGATCCAAGTCCTTCGACTGTGATGGAGATGGACAGTGTTATTGCCAGCCTGGAGTGACTGGAAAGAAGTGTGACCGCTGTGCTCATGGATTTTACAACTTTGAAGAAGGAGGCTGTACTCGTATGTAAACTCTTTGCAGCCAGTTTCAGATTTATCTCTCTCTTAGTTTATTTATGTATTTCTAAGATTCTAGTTTGGCTGGTTTTAGATTGCCTAACAAATTTTCCTGACAAGTAGGTATTTTCATAGACAGTCTTGTAAATCAGTCAGCTGGCAAGGATGGTGATTGGCAAGAACAAAAGACCCAAGCAATTCCTGCTATTTTAAGGTCATTTTATGGCTAATTTAGCATGTTTAGAAGGAACAAGAATGTCTTTTTCTCCAAGTACTTTATGGAAAAAAAAAGGTTTTATGAAGTTTCTGTGATTTAATTATGGTAAGAGTATCATAGAAGTGATTAAGGTGCTTGCCAGATCACACCAGCCTGAAGGGATGTGAATGGGGAAAAAAAAAAAAATCCCTTTGCTTCTAGTTTTATCCCGAACCTTTTCACTGTCCTTACATCTATAGATAAAATGTGTCCATTGTGTAACCACATGAAAAGTATGCATTTCCACATGCTGAAACTCTAGCATCAGGCATAAATATATCCAGCCACTTCTTTACATTTATGTTTATACTTTTGGACATTAGGTCAAACACTGAAATTAATGCTTCCTGTCTGCTACAGACTGCTACATCGAAAATAACCTAATCAATAGGTCTCTTCACAGAGGAATATCCATCTTTGTTAATAGAACTGCATTTTTTAAAGTCTCATAGACTCCTTTAAGTGTGATCATGGGAGACACAGTTCTCTAGTGCAGTTGGCTGCTGGGATGTCAGAATGGTGATGGCTCTGCAACTCTCTTTGCTGATGGCAGAGTACTATAAAGCCAAGAGTGTTGCTGCTATTATTCTTCAGGCAGAAGCTATATTCTTCCCAGAGGCAGAAATCACCACTATCAGTGATAATTGCCAGCCCAGTTACCTATTCCTCCTCCTTTCACTTCTGGAATGGCAGCAGAAGCAGGAAGCCAAGCTCCCTGCCCTTTTTTTACTCCCTTCTTTTATGGAAGGAGCAGCAAGACCTCGAGACTCACATCTGTACAGCAAAATTCAATTTCACCTGTAGTGTTGATAAAGCTTGAGGCAGGCTAGATTATAGATTGTATTTGAAAACATTACTCTGTGGCATTGTCTCCCATGGGAAGGAAGAGCTCAGAAAACGTTTACCACCTTGAAAAGTGCAAACATGTTGGCACTTTGGAAAGGGGAAAGATTGGTTCACAGACTCACTGATGAAAGAGCTTGAAATAAAATGCAAACGCAGTCCTAAAGCCCATAGCACATATACGGAGGAAAAAAAAAATACCGTAGTTTATCTTCATGATTAGTCTCTTATTCTAACATTTCACAGTTTAAAAGCACATCACTGTTGTGAAATACCACAAAATGTTGTTAATTTCTTACTGTTGGGGAAGGAAAATGAGAGGGCAATTAACAAGATTTCCCATTAAGATTCTAACTGCTCTCTTGGCAAACTTGAAATGACAGAGTTTAAGGAACAGTGATGAAGTGGGAACATAGTGTAAATCCAAACAATATTTTAAATAGAAGTGTATCTGCATGTGGTCATGAAATATTTTAAATAACTGCAACAGCTAAAGATGTTCAGAAAACTCAGATTACTAAAAGTTCCAAAGTTAACACAACAGATGGAGAGGAATTCTGTTTGCAAAATGCTGGGGTTTTTTCCCACTTATTTTTGGTAGACTTTTAATATATTCCTTCAAATGACCAAAAAAAAAAAAATTATAAATTGCAGGGAAAATCAGAAATTTAATAAAAATATATCCAATCTTGCTGGGAAGAAAGTGCATAAAAATGAATTCCATAGTGACAGTTAAGTATTGAATAAAATGTTGGTCCTCTTCTATCTATTTGGATAAATATCCAAAAGGAATATAATTTGATTTTTTTCTTGTGCTATAAAAAGCCATAAAGCTTTAAAAAACCCCTAAAGCATCGTCAGTTAGCATTGACATTCTAGCAGCAAAGATGCAAAAGTGCTTTCTATCTCACTGTTGCATGCAACAAATTTGTTGTATTTTTGCCGTAGACTTTTTAATAATGATAAAAGTAAAAATGCAAAAATGTTGATGTATGACTTTCTTCCCCTCCATGCCTTTTGAACCAGTTTTGTGTAAGAACTGGAAATTTATAGGAGAGCTGTCATGTCCGAAAGTCTCAGTCTCCCAATGAGTGATGTATTCTGAAATATCTTCAAGCTACAGTGTGTCAAAACATTTTAGGTAGCATGCCAAATGTCTTGTTCCTGCATGGTGGAGGCAAAACTTATCTTCTTTGCATCAGTTACCTTATTCTGAAATCACTGATGGGGAAAAGTAAAAGTTACTTCTTATTTGATCTATGGATGTGAGTTCCATCTTTGCACATCTCTTATATTCTAGTTTCACTCTGAATTGTAGTATTTCATACAGTAAAGGCAATGAGCATAAACACAGCCCTCAGCAATGAACATTATGTTACACTGTCCTATAAACACCCCAAGGAACAGATTATCACTCAGAGAGTCATAGTTTGCTTATGTTGCTTTTGCTCTGAGCTCAGGAGTAATGTTGATGGTGGATATGAAAATAGCCATGCACCAGTTCTGTCTCTTCAAGCAATTAGGTGTCTTGTGCCCCTTAACAACTTACAGCTTACATAAGTTGAACCTGGGTTTACCACCAGTGAGCTGTTCACTTAATAATGCTTTAAGAGCAAAGACTGCTTTTGCAACCAATTCCAAAACCAAAGTGGTTTTCATTGAATAAAATCTGCAAAGAATCCCAGTTTCCTGTGAAGAGGCACACTGTTGATGTCCTCCTAAAACAGAATACATATAATCTGAAAAAGGAGCAGAATGGGAAAAATAAATGGGAACACCTTTTTTTTACCCTTTAAGAAAAGACTTCTTCCAGCAGCAGAAATTTCAGGAGGTTGGCTCAGATTGGTGGAAGAAGTTAAATATGCTGCAAGTTCCCTGCACAGAGGGTTCAGAGGCAGTCAGGTGGCTTCTAGCACATCATCTGGGCCCAGAAACTGTACAGCAATACTCCTGCAGCTATGTCATATGAGTACACCATCTCAGAGGTGTCTGCACTTCTAAAGTTGGTGCCTTACATTTTTCCCCATTCTGTTCTCATTGCAGTTGCTTACTTAGTGAATAACCTCAATTAACCTGTGTTGCATGGCTCCCAGTTTGGGTTTCTCTGGGTTTACCCTACCTTTCCTGCCCTACCATGCCCACAGATAACTGGGAATTCACTGTACTGCACTGATAAAAGTCCTTGGTGGAATGATCCTAACCCTATTAGGGTCTTCTCTCCAGATGTTACATAAAGGGGTAACTCTTCCTCTGCTTTATGTTTTATCTATATCCTGTGAAGCCTGTGAGTGTTCACGTTTCGGTAATAACTGCGATCCCGCCAGTGGCCGCTGCATCTGTCCTCCCAACACTATTGGAGAGATGTGTGACAAATGTGCACCCAATTACTGGGGCCATGACATTGTCAGTGGCTGCAAGGTGAGTGGGTCTCTATTTCCTCTGTTTATGATCTCTTTTGCATGGGGTAAGTCCAGTAGTTTGTAGCTGGAACACAATTATAGGTTTGCGAATAGTGGTTTGTCTCTATATTTTGAGTTTTGGTGTCAGGCTGGTATCTGTTACTGAACTCTACAGATCCTCGGTCTCAGCTATGCGGCCTGTGACACTGTGAACTGCCTGTTGATACTGCTGTAATGCTGAGCCAGTGTCCTGCTCGAGCCTGGTTTCTTTTCTTATAGCTGTGTTTAATGTGATTGAGGAGATTGTCACAGTCTTGTACTATGTTTGTAGTTGTATAGTTACAGGTAATTGACAGTGCATTTGGAGAATAAATTTACTTTGGCCCTAATTGTGATACCCCTGGGAATTTGTAATTGAAGTTTACTCGAGAAGGACTTCCACTTCTGCATAAGAAACAAGGAAGAGAGAATAAAAGAAATAGTCACCTTAGATGTATAATGCACTTGCTTCCTATGTTCATAAAGGGGAAATAAACCTTCTCATAGCCTTTAAATCCTTCTTATTCCAGTGTTCGACACAGAGTTAAATAAAAAAAAATCTTAAAGGAAGGGAAGAAAGGAGAAGGAATAGGAAAACAATAATAGTATGTCAAAGTGGCCATAAAAGCTGTTGTTAATGTCCTGCCCTTGAATTAAGGGGAGCAGTATTTGGTTAAGGCTGGAACCTGGTGACAGTGAATATTGTATAAAGTTCAAACGCCTTCTCCTCTCTGCTGTTCTCACTGATGAGAGATTTATAGTACTGCTACAATTACTCAAAAAAAAACGTGTCTTGTCTGAACATGGTCATGCACCATTAATGTTCTTTTTTAAAAGGCTGTTTGTCATGACGCTTAGGCTGCAAACTAATTATTGAGAATGATTTCTTTTTCTGTATGTATGGAATACTCCTCTTATGAAACCTCTGCTGTGCTGCTGTGATATAGACTCCTGGCTTCTGAAACCAGACTAATGAGGTTGAAGACCTCTGTTTGAAATCTGGAGTATATTCACTGATTGCCTTTTATGTGAGCACATTATTATGACAGTTCCATGGCACCACCTAAATTAATAATGATCTATCAGCCCACATCTTTTTCAGTATGTTGCAGCTAATTTCTGCAAAGTGAGATGTGAATCTCCTGCTTGCACTCTGTAGAAGATCTCTAGGGCTGTTGTAACTCAGGGGATAGAGAGCATTGCATAAAACTTCTTGCTCACAAAATAGACATAACATCTGATTGTAATTTAAGTTTTGATACTGCACACCAGGCTATTTCAGTGTATAGTGAATAATTTGCTTTCTAAGCTTTATGTTCAAATATACCTTGTATAGGTTCTTTCTGTCAGAAGGTTTTATCTCTTAGCTTAGGTATCAGTCTAATATTTAACGAGTTAAACAGTTTCTTTGGTGTTCAGTAAAGATTGAATGTGAGTGTTTCCTGTATATAATCACCTTTATAAATGGTCTTTTCAGCTCAGAAGAAAGGTGCTGTAAGTATTCATGTAATAAACAGTTTTGCTTAGAAACAGAATCCACATTTCCCTCTTTTCTTTTTCAATTTTGTGTCCTTAATTTTAGCAAGTCTATCCACGTCAGTTGCTGTGGTAACCTGTACTACTGGCACTGACTTTCCTCAGTCAAGCTGCAATTCTCCGTGTGAGATTCTGGTCATGCCAGTGATCCCGGCAAATGTCCTGTGCTGACTTTGCAATACAGTCACAGTAATACCACTGAGGGATTCTTCTGTTCTTTGGAAGCCTGTGACTTTCCCTGCTACTTACTTCTGTATTCAATACCTAGACCCCATGGCAAATCACCTATTTCTACCCTTACCTGCCTGCACATATCTGATTCTGTGAGCAGGTTTACTTCCCAGTTCACCAGATGACTGAATCCTTTCCCATGTAAATTACTATCATCGAAGAGTCCTCTTTGTACAAAGAAGTGAGCTGTCTGGTGAATGAGTAATAAACATTGAACTAGATTCCACTGGGACCACTGCCTGTGAGCAATTCCAGTTTTAGTGAAGTGGTCTGAACATGACCTGCAGAGGATTTACATAGAAAGACCTTTTTAGAGAGCACTTAGAGTTTTTAAGTTAATTTTGTCTGCACAGTATCCCAGTGATACTTTTAGATTTATTTCATTTCACTGCCTAACTTATCAGTGGTAAGTAATACCTGTCCAAAAAGAAAACAGTCTTGTGGATGTAGTTAGTGTAATTGCTTGACCCTTGTTGGATAAAGATAAATGCCTAGCCTTGTCAGTCAGATATGTTACCTTCAGACAGTGAAAATTCACTGCTGTACTTTATTTATAGGTGTTTGAAAGAGATTATTTGATTTTTTGCTGAGGTTTTTGGTTTGGGGTTTTGTTTGTTGGGTGCGTTGGTTGGTGGGTTGGTTTGTTTTCAGAAGCACAATTGCTGTTTTCTCCTTGTTTCTCTCCTTTTTAGCCCTGTGACTGCAGCCCCATTGGAGCCCTAAGTTCTCAGTGTGACTTAAATACAGGCTGTTGCTTCTGCCGCCCTGAATACTCTGGGGATAAATGCACTGAGTGCAGGTTGGGTTACTGGAATTATCCACAATGTGTTGCTTGTCAGTGCTCCCTGGCGGGGATTGAACCACAGAGCTGTGAAACAGAGTTGGGGAAGTGCTCGTGCATCGATCATACTGGCCAATGCAGCTGCAAGGTGGGAGAATGAAGGTTGTAAGCTGATCTTATAGCTGCTGAGAAGTTTATTCCAAAGTTCATTGACATTTGTACTTTCCTGTTCCTTATCAGTTGCTTTTTCACACACTAACACTTGCCAGGATAGCATCCTCTTAGGCTGTCTCTTCTCACCTTGTATTTCTTCCCATTCTTACAGAACTGTTGCAAATTTAACTGCATCCAATACAATACTTATTCAGATACTTGGGAAATTAAAAGCAAAGACATCAGAAATAATTGTATGCCACAGAGCTAGTTCTTTGTAGTACAATGACCTAGAGGGAGTCAATATTGATCATTTTATGAGTAGAATTCACTGAACTAGGATCTGTTCTTCTGCATAGAGTGTGTCCAAGTCAGGATCACTAAAGCAAAGACTTTTGATGGCATTACCCGCAAACTTCTTATTTGGAATTGTTCTTCCAGGAACAACACACGTAGGTGATTTGAAAATTGGCTGCATTTTTGGGCTTAAAGACCAATAATTGATGATTTGACATGCAACTGGTAGCCAGCAAGCAGAGTATCCCAGAGCCAATATATTCATCAGAGACACAGATGACAGAATTCACCATCCGCAGATATGAGAAAATTGCTGATTTGGAGGAGGTAGAGGTTGACATGCTGAACAGTTAGAACTCCAGTCTAGAGGGTCCTTGAAAAGCCTGATGATTGGGAAAATAGAAGGGTCATGAACTGGAGTGGAATAACCTCAGGAATCAGTAGTTTGGGAGGAAAACGTCTGAGTGGTAATTCTGCTGAAAAGCATATAGGCTTTGGCGAATGGCAAATTGAATATAAGCCAACCATGTACTCTCATTGTAAAAAACACATACTGCCTACTGAGCTGGATGCATTGGTCGTGCTGGCCAATGTAGATGCAAGATAGGACATCACAAAGAGCATGACCAGCAGGGGAAAGCCTTCATCCCTCTCTACTCAGTGCTGGTAAGATACTATTTGGAAATGCTGTTTAGCTTTAGGACCTGGTTCAAGAGTGTTGTTAAGAAACTGGAGAGGATCCAGAGAAGAGCTAGAAGGAGAGCTGGTGATCTCTAAGGGTATACCAAGAGAGCTGGACTCAGTCTGCAAGAAACAGAGACTAAGAGAAAATGCAGTTACAGTCTATAGACCTTACAGAGTAGCTGATGGAGTAACGTCCTTTCTGATAATAGCAAAAGATGAGACAAGGCGTAATAGCTGCAAATGGCAGCTTGGGAATTTTGGGTTGGATATTAGGAAAAAAAAGCAAGTCACTGGGAGGGTTATGCAGCGCTGGAACAGATTATCCAGAAAGGTTGTGAAATCCCTGTTCTTGGAAGATTTCAAGGATTGGCTAGAAAGAGTCATGGCTAAACATAACTGGTATTGGTGATAGTCTTGCAGGAGATTTTTAAAAGTCACCTCTAGAAATTCCTTCTGTAATTTTGATTCATTCTTCTCCTTGAAGGACTGCATCAACACAAAGTGAGTAAAATGGAAGGATGAATTTAAATTATTGAATTGCCAGGTAATTCTTTTGTTAAATGGGAACCAGTCACTCCATTCTGAGTTTAAAGGATAGACTCAGTGGAGAAACTGTAGAATAAATTAGATTGGAAGGGACCTATGGAGGTCATCTAGTCCAGTGCCTTGTTTGAAAGACATTGCTGAAGCAGTATTACCAAGGATGGAGATTTCACAACTTCTTTGCGTAAACTCCTTGACCACCTTCCTGTTTTCCTGGTGCATACGAACAGAAAACATCATGTTTTATTTCAAAAATACTGTCTTATTTGATGGTGACACCATAAGAAAACTGGAGTGAATTGATTACCTTGAACCATCTGAGTAAAACTCAGTGTTATTTGTCCTATATCATCTTCTGAAATGGAATAATAGAAGTATCTCAAACCTTTCAGCCTCTCCATGATGTGCTCCAACCCCTCTAACCATCTTGATGGCCTTTTCTGGAATAGGTCCAATATGTCATTGTCTTTCTTTTATCTCTTGTAAGCACTACGTAGAAAGACTGGAGGTTTATGGCATTTTTAAATAGAAATGTTTCTTTGTTGATTTTTTTTTTTTTTAAGGCTAATATATTTACTTCTTTGTTTCTGTAAATGCAAATTAACAGTATATATTTAGCTGATGATAAGAAACTGCAATTGACATGAAACAAAACAAAAAGCAAGTAACATTCACAATTTATGACAGAAAATGGACAAATAGTACTGAACTAAGTCAGCAGTTCTTTTTTCCCCCCAGAATATAAATCTAAGGTTGAATTTAAATCTAGGGCTGGTTAACCTTTTGTGTAACTTTTTTGAAAGAGTCATATATTGGAGAAGCAAGATTTTTATAAAATGGTAATAGTTCCCATTTAAACCTGCTGTTAGAGCTGCAAAAATGAGCTTTCAAAGGCTCAGGAGCCCCTTTGTCAGCACTGACAAAAAGCAGAAAAATCTAAGCTAAATACAGTGTATTTGCTGATAGAGTTACATGTGGAAAAGAGGGTTAAAAATGGTAAATCCTGGGGGATAATGTTGGTTTCCTGTATAAGCTTTGGAAAGTTGAATTTATTTTTTTATTGGCTTCTTCACATTACTCTCAAGAGAAAAAAAAAAAGGGGGGGGGGGGGGGGGGAGCGGGAAGGAGGAGAAGCCAGCCAGTGCTTTCATATTGGTGATTTGGTTTAAATACCTTGGTCTCAGCATGAAAATTATTTTAAAAAGCTATGCATAAATTATTGTGTATCTAGCCCTATCTGGTGTAGCTTTTTATTTGGACTAATTGAAAAATGGAAATAAAAGCATTGACAATACAACAGCGAAACATTTCAGCCTTGTTAATACTGTTCAATGATGTGGAAAACAATCACAAAGAGGGGAAAGCTTTTCTCTACAGTATTTCCATTAAAATGTGTTTCTCAGCAGGAGCATTTAGTACAGTACCTTAAACATTCTGACTTGTCAAAGCTAATTCCTATGAAACAAAAGGCTTGATTAACCCTAGCAATTTCAGAAGGACATATTTTTTTCTTGTCTTATCAATGAGTTATTGAGCATGTCATGCCTAAAGTGCCATTTGATTTTTCTGTGCTTAGAACTGTCAGTAGTAAGCCAGCATTCATTGCTCAGAGCTACTTGGTGAATACAAATGCAAATGCCTCAATTAAGTTAATTTTATATGTTTGAAAACACATGTGATAAGAAACTGGAAAGTTCCTTGAATATTTCCTTACACTTATTGTTATTTCTTCCTGCACCCTGTTATTACCATTACTGTCTATTTTTTTTTTTTTTTTACTACTACCTCAAGATAAAGTTTGCCTTTTTTTGTTTTTTTAAATGTTCCCTCTCTTCCAGGTTAATGTGGAAGGTGTCCACTGTGACAGGTGCAAGTCTGGTACATTTGGTCTCTCTGCCAGAAACCCACTTGGCTGCAGCAGTTGCTATTGCTTTGGCCTGACTACACAGTGCAGTGAGGCAAGGGGGCTGGTTCGCGTGTGGGTGAGTAGGAAACTGCTGAGCCATGTAATGTGATAATGTTGTTTCCTGCTGGCATCTTTTAGTCAGGCACTGAGAGGCAGCTAGAAAATGGTCAAGCATTTAAGCAATCATTTTCCTCTCTATCTGTTAGAAGTAGAGAGAGGTATGTTCCATTAGGCAATCAAGGTCAAGGTATTCAAAGTAAATAAGTAGATTAGAAACCTGGTGATAGGATAGCTGACATCAAGCTGAGGTAAAGCTATTCAAACCCAGGAAAGGGCAAGCTAGTCGTGTGGGGAAATTACGCAGTCCAGTGCATTGTAACATCATCTCTGGTATATGATACACAGTTTACCCAGGTGTATTCAAGGGTCACAGATGCTTGTTGTCCAGCATAGATTTCCCATGGTTCAATTAATTTGCCTATTTTTGTTGTTGTTTTTTGTGTTTAATTTTTTAAAAAGAGTTTATTGAAGCTCTGTTTAAATCCAAGAATGGGAGAGTATAATCCATCAGAGTAAACAAAGAGCTCTATGCCTTTTTGTGGAAGAGTGCCTTGAGACCTGTGCTGGACTGACAAATAAATGGATACATCTAGTCTGCCTTTATCTGTATAATGAGCACAAAACCTGCATTGAGACCACTGCTGTCCATTGCTGCTGTGCCAGCTCCTCAGCTACATTCTGGAGAATCTATTTCTAATAAAAAATTACTGGTTCAGGCTCCTTGTATGGTCAGTCATATCTCTGCTGGGCAGCATGTCATCCATTGAGAGAATGTCTGCCTAATGCAAATGAGCCAAAGCCCCTGACTTCTTATGCAGAAGCATCAATTGGATAAGGATACTTTAGGCTGAAGTCAGGGTGTGACCTCTTACAAAAAAGTTCATATCTCTTGGTCAAAGTAATATGAATAACACTCATTCTCCCCTTCATTGTTCAATCCAATAGCACCTCTTTCACTTCCCGGTGGATTAAGTGATTTACCATGATCTGACCCGTTTTTTCTCATTATTTCAGTTTTTGCCCATCGTGTGCTGGTAGGCTGGAGACGTCAGCCTTTTACCACCTTTCAAGTTATAAAATTTAATCAAGTTTCATTACATCAACAGCACTGGAAAATTGTGCTTTGACCTTTGTTGCATCAAAAAGCAGAAACATAGTTTAAACCTCCTGATTATTTTGTGTCTCTTGATTAATTTCCTTTTATATTTATGCTCATATCTAAATAAGCGTATGTCCATGTCTTATCTAGTTTTTGGTACTCTGATCTATTTCAGCATGGATTCTCAGAGTTTTAAACTGAGTGAGACGGAGTTCGGCCAGATGCCAGTGGCTGTTTCAGATACTCTCAGGTGCTTCAAATGGCATTAGAAACTAAACAAGCAAATTGTGTCTTTTATGACAATAAGGCAAGGATGAAATGAAATTCAAATGTGTTGATCCCTTTCTTGATATCTAAAGTAGCAAGCAGTAAAATATGGTTATGATAGGAACTCAAGAAATCTCGTTTAGGGCTGGCAACGCTTCCATATCTGATCAATCCAGAGATGCTGCTGTAAATGGAAATACCAAGATGCTTAAAGTACAGTACAGGGCTTGGTTGATGCCTCATTACCTGATTGGTGTCTCATGAACAGCCTGTTAATGGAATGACTGTTAGAGATATGTCTCTGCATTTATTTCCTTCATTTTCTTCACTCTTTGAGAGAAAATAATTTAGATGCCAGACCTTTGCATTTGTTCACACAATTCCAGTGATACTTTCATCTGCACAGAATAACTAAGACTCTTATTACAGTTTTTGATCTAAATAATGATTTCTATAGAATGCTATTGAGACTCTTTCAACAAGTCTAAGAAAATTCCAAGTACCTAAGTGGCATCCTTGTATTTTTCATTAAATCTGGATTTGGAGCTACAGAAACCCTGAGTCCTCACTCTCTGCGTATTGCCTGGAGAACACTTAGCTTGAGTATTGCATAAAAGTAGCGAGGGATCAGGCACTGTGTTCCACAGCCCCAGTGTTCTATAATAAGTGTTGGTGAGAAGTATGCTTCTTTGTAAGGTACATTTCTCACAATCCAACAAGAAGAGGCCCAAGACTGAAATTGCATTATTGCAATCGCTTCAATAAAATTCATGGGGTTATTCACTGATGAAACTATTTTAACCAGTGCTAGGACATTCTTTGTTAACATGGGGACAAGGTGAAAAAGGCTTGAGGGGGGAAGTCATTACTCTCACCGTTTATACCTGAAGGAGTAGTAAGAGTGTTTTGTGACAAATTGATCATGATGTGAAATGAAATTATCTAGAAGTTGGTTGGTTTTTTTTTTTGTTTTGTTTTTTAAACAGAGAATTTAAAGGCTAACATTTCATGGGGAAAAACAGATTGAGTTTCTTCTTGGTTTTTTTGAATACCTATAGGTGACCTTGAAGCCAGAGCAAATGATTCTGCCACTAGTGGATGAAAACCTTCAGCACAGCACTCTTTCAGGGATAGCATTCCAGCCTCCTGAAATAGTAGCAAATATAGAACAGGTGATGCAGGATCTTCGGTCAGAACCTGTTTACTGGAGACTTCCAGAGCAGTTTGAGGGACGAAAGGTAAACATAAAATTCCACTGAATACTGACATCGATTTGTATGGGTTTTTTTAGTCTTCTATTTGTATTCTGCAATGCCTGTTTTCCCTTCCAATAAGCAAGTCATCATACAGTGGAAGGTACTTCAAAAGAAAATAAATGCCATTACATTACTAAAAACTATTTGCTGTTATCATGAAAATTCATAAGTCTGTTATATAAACACTATTTTAAAATAGATATATACAGACAGTAACATAATATTATTCTATGGGACAGATTGTCTTATAAAAATGTTATTTGAAAAATTAAGCTGCATTAATTTAATATGACTTTCCTGTAACTTTTTGTATCTCTCCATTTTAAATTAAAAACTACCTAATCTTTGTAAACTCTGCAGGAGAAAATGTTTGAAATAACACTCCCTTTTGATATTGTCATGTGCCTCTGTCACAATTTATTTTGTACTTCTGATATTTCTTAGTTTGTCTTGGAAAAGTTTAGATATTTCTGTAAATAAAAACTTTGGGGAGCATCAAGGCACATATAAAGAAACAGATAACATTTTGATTTTAGCATAGTACAAAAACGAATTGCCAATGGGTATTTTTGAACCCAGCCTTTGTCCCCAGATAGTTCTACAAGTCCGTTTCACTGTTTTCTACCAGACACACATTCATCAGACTGCACACAGGTACAGAGTGTGTCTAACTCTCACATATGTCCAGGAATTTATTTTTAGCTAACTGAAAAGATTTCTTTTTCTACTTTCTGTTTTGCCTTGTTAGCTGACCGCTTATGGAGGGAAACTGAAATATGCAATCTACTTTGAAGCACGAGAAGAGACAGGTTTTACTACTTACTACCCACAAGTCATCATAAGAGGTGGGCCTCCCACCCATACAAGAATTATTGTCCGGCATATGGCTGCCCCTCTGATTGGGCAGCTGACAAGGCATGAGATAGAGATGACAGAGGTAACTTTTCCATCTGTTTTTTGTTTGTTTGTTTGGTTGGTTTTGTTTTGTTATGTTTTGTTTTTTTGTTTGTTTGTTTGTTTTTCACCAGAACTAAAGCACCGATTTCTTTTTAAAACTGTTAATAATCTGGTTTTGTATTACTGCCTTTACAGCATGAATGGGAATATTATGGTGACGAACAAAGAGTCAGGAACACTATACCCTGGGAGTATTATCATGATGACCCAGGTATCAACAGGACGGTGTCTCAGGCAGATTTCACCTGGAAACTTTATGGGGATGACTCAAGACCAAGTAGAGCTGTATCCCGGGAAGACTTCCTGAATGTGTTGTATGATGTTCATTACATTCTTATTAAGGCTACTCACGGCAACATCATGAGGCAGAGCAGGTAACTATTTCATGGAGTGCTCTGACATAGTGCAGTAGTCACAGATAACCTGACAGAGCTCACAGCTATTCTGAGCAGAATTTTTATTCAGAGAGTCATCTCTAAGCAGTTGCTGAGAAGAACAGAAGCAGTAGGCATTCAGCATACCAGAAGATACAGGAAAGGGAGATTTTATTTAATAGAAAATCAAAATCACAACATACAAATGAAATCTTTATTTTCAGGCTCCTAGAACAGAAAACACATCTAAGCATACACATCTTGAAGCAAACCCAAAGTATTTTTTTAAATAAATGTCTACTTTATGAAAAAATTATGCTGGAATTAATTTTCTCTTGCAATTGGGAAATGAAGTAAAAAGTCATTAAAGTACTCCTTTAATGAATTGCTACTTAATCCAGTATATTAGAGGCAGATGCATTCAACATTTTCTATTCAGTTTATTCATTAATAAATTAGATGATAGAATAAAAATAACACTTAGTAAATTTGAAGTGGACATCAGACAGCAAGATAAGAGGAATAATGCAAAAATCTGCTGCAGTCTAAAGGAGAACTATACAATTTTACACACTAAAAGGGGTAATCAATTGAACAAAAAATTAATAACTACTTAGCTACCTATTCTTCAAAGAGGGATCTGTTTACAACATGTCACCAGATGATCATGATTCAGTAATGATATTCTTGTTGAGAAATGCTAATATTCTAGTTGCATATATAAGCAGATATATCACACAAAGTGAAAAAAATTAATCTCTTACTTCCACCCAACACTAGTAAAGCTTAAGGATCAAGTTTTGGGTACTTGAATTCAAGAAAAAAATTATTCAAATGTTCAGAGGATAACAGTGAACAGCATCACACACTAGAAAATACAACCTGTAAGAGAAGATACAATGAACTAGATTTATTTAGAAACTAGAAATTGCCTTAAGATGAATAAAATGTCACAAAGAGAAAGAAAATAATCAGTTCTCTGTTGCCCTGGTGGGTAAGTCAAAAAAGAAATGAGCTTAAACTTCAGCAGGAAAGATTCACATTAGACATGAGAGAAAAACTCCTTGGGGGCAAAAAAGTCCTGGAATAGATTACACAGACAATTCCTAGATGTTTTTAATAATGAATTCACAATATCCTTTGCAAGCAAGATGTATTAGCAAGGACACAGAAATCATTGGAGATACTCTCCAAAGGTCTCCAGATCTTTTTTATGATTCTACCATAAAAGCAATAGGCTAATATTATTTCTAGATTTCTAGGTTATAAATAGGTCTATAAGAACATGACCTTTGGAGTTTGAGGGTGAATAGTAGGGGCAGATACCATGCAACTTTGCATCATTGTGTGACAGAAAACAGTCGTTGCTGCTATTGACTATATTTAAAGTGTAGCATTTACAGAAAAGCATTCATGTTGCACTGGCTAGGTGTTAAATATTTAGATGCCATAAATATTTTACGTTGATTTCATTTGTTTTTGGCATAGTCCATTTAGGATATGGTGTTACAAGAACAGGGAATTCCTGTGGCAAGAGTTATGAAAGTAACTCAAACATGACATGAAAAATTTGAGAAGCATTTCCATGTTTTGTGCTTGTTTCTTCTTTCCCTTTATGCACTATAAGCCCTAGTTCAGATGTAGCAGCAAAAATTAAATACTGTCTCAGCTCGAGCATCATAAGTAAAGTTACGAAAACAAAATTTTGTTTTCATTACTTTGTTCTGAGATGCATATGACCATTGTGACTGAACTAGACCTGCATTGTAAAACATTGCCATTTTATCAAGGCAGGTTTGCAAGGTGACACTTAAAGAACCAAAATGTATTTTTACGACATCACATTTCAGAATGTGGCATTTCATATGACAGCAGGACTTAGCGAAGTGTTCATCAAGTCTTTTGAGTAACTTCATCTGAAGTCATAACCTTGTATATAATATCATATTTGATTTTGGAGGTGGTCATGTTACAAAAGATTTTTATGACCTGTCTGGTTACATAGGTAACATTTGTTACACAGCATCTGAAACTTTAAGTAGAAAATAAACTGAAGGAATACATTATTCTTTTTTTCAAGTTAGCACCTTGAGTGCTTTCAGAGGAAGTTTTGCTTACGGCCACAAAATAAATCCCCCAAAATATTTTTAAAGGTTAGTGGGATATTAGCTGGCATAAGAATTGAAGGCTTTTATTAAAAATAGTCTGTAAACCTCTAAAGGATAATATTTCTGCTCAACTTTAAGCATATGTTTGAATTAAGTGACTTATAATAAAGCAGCCCTTTTCTAAACAAGTAAAGCTTCTCTTTCTACCTGACTGTGCATAGTGAAGGAAGTATAAAGCAAAAGAAACTGTGGATGGGAGGAGGAAAATATCTATGCAGACTTTTAAATTTTTTTAAGGTTTTTAGTAGTACTTTAATTTCAATTGCAGAGTTTAAAAACTGCAGATAAGTGATAAACTGCAGGAAAAGCATTTTAAAATAAATTTAAAGCAGTGGCAGTTAAAGCAGTTGGAAACATAAAAATAGCCTAGTTCTAACGTTCACACTGCATTAGCTATATAGTTTAGCAGCAATGCTAATGTTATTTCTGCTTCAAAGCTGCAGCATTACTAGTGATTTAGAGTGTTCTGCTCAGAATCCGAAGCCAAACATTTTTCTCCGATATTGTTCATTTTGTTGCCCTCATTTTCACATTGACCACTCTAAATTGGAACATTTTTTTTTATTAGATTTTGTTATGCTTTTCAGGCAACTGGGCTGTGATAGTAAATTAGTTTGAATTGGGAGTATACTTTCAATTTGACTGTGAATTATTTCAATATCCCTGACACTGATCAGGTAGCAGTGGTTGGACTGGTGCCTATTAGACATGTTCCAAGAATCAACCTAGCCTGACCTTCCTTAAGTAACATTTTCACACAAACAACAGGTAGCTTCATGGTCCCAGAGTTTATTATTATGTAAATACAGCTTTCTGACAGTAAATAGGGTTTTTTGCAGCACATAGAGGGTTGTCCCAGCTTTTAAGATGATGGGGAGTCAGATTTTATTTTGTTTTTCCATTAAATGTACAGAGATTTCAATGTAAGCTTGCATTGGCCTATCAAATCTGAACGGTTTTGCCTTCTTTCTTTTCAGTCTTCTGTGTTGACCTGGCTTTTTATTGTTTGTTTGTTGCGGCAGTGGGAATGGGTGCATGTTTCATTTTCCCTGCTCCACTAAACCCCTTTCTTCAGATAGTAAGAAGAAAGCCCAAATTTTAAGTTCCTAGATGATTTTAGGATTTTGCATTGACACAAGGTATCATGATTTATGAGTCAAGTCACCTAAGCTCAGTCACAAAATTCTCATCTAGGTCCTCAGTGGGTCTTTCATTTTCCTACAGTCGTCCTGATGTTGGTGCCTGTATGCCAGTGAGCAGAAGAGCATCACTCAGTCACTCTGTGTAATGGTTTGAAAACAAACCAGTGAGAGACTCCAAGTCAGAAATACAATTTAATAAGAAAAAAAAAAAAAAAAAAAAAAAAGAAATAATACAAAGAAAAACAAAAGACAGAGTCAGAAAACAACCTGCTCCATACAACCTGATCCTCTGTAGTTAGGGTGGTGGTAGCAGTCCAGATGAAACAGTGGCCTCGTAGAAAAGATCTGGTAGCTCTTGTCCTCTGGAAATCCAATGGGTAAGGCCCCCTGTGCTGTACTGAACCCCAGTTTATATCCAGGTGGGAGCACTTGGCTCCTCCCCCTGGGTGGAGCATCTCACAATGGGTTGATATCAGTCTATGAGTCATGCAGTGGGTCCTTGATGGTCCATTAAACAGAAATAGCTCCTGGGGGGAGCTCTGTATGAGTCATGGGGCGAGGCATGGATGGGCCCATTAACAGGGAGGACTCCTCCTGCTGGGTGGGAAGGTGTTAACATCTCCCCTGACCTTGAACCTCTTTCCTTATCTGTTATAGCCTGGGGTGTGAGGTCTGTCCTGGGCAGCTGCTACCCATGATTTTCTTAACAGCCCATGAGCACTGACATAGAGAGTATAGAATATACAGTTTTGGTTCTACCCACATAAGGATAAACTGGTCCCAGCCCCTGTAACCATGACACTCTGTAATCAAGGTTTAGGAGTAGATGAACAGACAATGAACACAAGGAGGAGATGAGGAGTTCTGTGAGCATCTCTGCATTAGCCCAATGCACAGACAGTGAATAGACTGTAGCAGCATTTTCATTTATTTGGCTCATTTATCATATGTTCTTCAACATTTTATCTTAACCTGGCATTTTATTTGAAACTTGAAAATGTACACTATTCTACCATTTTTGTTTCTCAAAGACAGTCAGGAATTCCAGATAACAGAGTTCATTTAAACAGACTTAAAGTCCCCCCCCCAAATAAAGTAAGCTAAAAGAACATCATTGTGGTACATTAGGATTAAGTGTATTTCATTACATATTATGTTTGTTGTCTTTGTCCGTGATGTACTCAACCCTATTTGGCAGGTCTTTCCATGCATGCTGCAAAGACGGGGTGACTGGGAAGCAAGGATATTATTATTAATGCAATCAGGCAAGTGTTTGGAAAGTTAAAATGTCAGAAGCTCTGCCATTAAATATATCCCTTTCTGGCACTAGCAGATGCTTCTGTAGTAGGATTTCTTGTTTGCTTGAAACTGTTTATATTGTTCGTATAAATGATCCTAACAACAGCAGCAAAAGGGATATCTGTCTACATATCTTAAAATTCCTGCTAAGAGGGCAAATGTCCAAAGTTTTTGAAATCTGCTCTAGAGCTTGTTAGGTTGCTTTAGTTGCTGAGGATAGATTTTATTTTTTTTAATGGTTGCCTCATTAAAAGCTCATTTAGTGAACAATTTTATTACTGTACCTCTGAGAGTCATGAATTGAAACTGCATTTAGTATGTGACTTCAATTTCTTAATGGGTCCCTCTAAATGAAGAATCAGATATGAGCTTTTGTTAATAGTTTGGCTGAAAAGAGATTAAAAACAGAGATAGACTCAAGCAAGAGAGAAAAGTTGGTTATACTATTGCCTAGAAATGGAAAATGAGACTACATGTGGTGGTAGCTTTGTTGTTTCCTTAGGAGAGGCAAAAATAGCGTTCTTTGTCTCCTGAAGATCAAGAAGCCTACAATCGGCCAAATAAGACTGTTTTCTCCCATGACAGCTGACTGTGTACCAACTTGAATTAGTGTTTGACTAATCTTAGTAGAGATGTTTACACCTTTTTTTCAGGATTTCTGAAATCTCCATGGAAGTTGCTGAAGGTGGCACTGTGTCTGGGATGACTCCTCAGGCTTACTTGATTGAGAAATGTGACTGCCCATTGGGTTATTCTGGTTTGTCTTGTGAGGTACAGTACTAACCTGACTTCCAATAGAAGTCTTTGCTCTTTCTTTGGTCCATTCATTAGCAAAATGTTGTAAGTAATGGGAGTGTGAATTCATTTAACTGGCAACAACTATCCCTTAATTTAATTACCGATATTCTTTCTCTCTAAGGTATTTCTCTCACAAGGAATTTTTTTTTTTTTTGCTTTAGGTAAATATGCCACTGAAACCATGGCAATAACTCAAATACTTAGAATACAGGAAAGTGAGGAAAGTGACCTTTACTGGTTCAGTATCTCTGAGGCTGATCTCTGTGACTGATGCTAACTCATCAAGCATTTTTGAACAGATAAGTTTATGATACTGTTGTAACAGCACAATCTGCTGTAATTACAATCTGTAGGACTATGTTGTCGTGTTATGGTGTGGCCATAACACATAATACAGTTACGGTATCATATCTTCCAAAAGGCTGAACTATATCCGTCATTTTAGTGTGACCACGATTCACAGAAATTATGGAGAAAAAGACAGGAAACTACAATGTCAAAAACAAAACAAAAACCAAACCCAAACCAACAACAGCTGTTTCTCTAAATTCTTGATAGTGGTAACTAAACTACAAATTAACAGTTGTAATAGTGAATAATTAAAGGTTACATGCTACTTATTCCTGAATCTGTCAGTTGAGTGGAATTCACCGAAGTATAAAAACAAATTCCAAAACAAAAATGTTATAAAAATTGTAGCACCAAGCACTCTAAACAAAACCACGCAGAAATTTAAAATTCTGTTTTGTAAAGGCTTTCCAGATTTTTAAGTTTGCCTTGTTTGACATTTAAATTTCCGTATGAAGTTTTAGTAGCCTTATGATTGATTGAAATATTTTGTTTTGGAAAAGAAGTAAAGAGCATTTCAGTTATGATATCTTTAGTGTTTGTATTATAACAAATAAATCAAATAACAAGAAAAATTTTAAAAATAAGTCATTTCAATAGCAAAACTTGAAATGGTACATTCTGATAGTTGGTCACAAAGGCAGTTCATAGCTGAAAACCTGTAGATTCCTCAAATTTATCTTTTCTCTTGAAGCTGCTTCAATAGCATGCCTGTGTAGACCAACACCAACAGGATGAAAGTTGTCTGTTTTACTTTTATTTTACATGCTTGACTGCCCAAAATAGCACTGCAAAAATATTAAAAATGTAGATGAGAACCATTCTGTAGCACGTCTGTGCTTCATCAAAGAAGTTTCTTAGAAGATGTTTTCAAAGCTTTAGGAAATGTCTACTGTGCATATTCAAACTGTCAGTTTTCTGAATGCTTATAATTTATCTAAGTGGATCTATGAATATACATTGAACAGAGCCACTGAGTTCTGGCAGATATCTTTCCATTTTACTCCCCCACAATTATTCTTCCAGTGCTGTTATAGGACTCACATAACAAGATCTTGCTCGGTACATACACAAAAGCTTGCCTCCTATCAAATTTCAGTGCCCCATGTGTCAGTGATGGAGCTGCTTCTAAAGAGGAACAGAAGTTCAAGAACACATGGTCCAAATAGTGCATTTTGCTTTATTCTTAGAAGCTATTGAATCACTGTGTCTTAAAATGAAATAAAATAGATGTGAAACTAATGGAAGCTTTTGTCCTGAACCATTGGAGTTTGGTAAATTTCTAACTCATTGAACACTGGGAGGAAAGTGTTAGTCAAGTGAGTGAGCTTGGTGCTCCTTATGCATATGCAGTATTTATTTATTTTACTAATGTAAATATTTTCGTGCTAAAGATTTCATGTTTCCAAACCATGCAAGTTTATAGAGAATCAACTGGCTTGTATGCTTTTGTAAAATGAAACTTGTAGTAGGTACCAGAGCAACTGCTTAAGATTTAGTAAGTTGACTGCAGAATAGAAGTTAGTATTTTTGAACGTCTGTGCTCTTCATGATGAGATTGCCAGTCTTTCTCTGTGCAAAACACCTTCTTTTCACTTTTAGACAGCACTAGCAATTCTGTTGCTAGATAGAGATAGCAGGCAACACCACCATGAGTGTTCTGAAAATTCCTCGGATATCCTACGTGGGACTGTGTAAAGGGCTCCCCCAAGCCAGCAGTGGGAGAAAATTTGCATTGAGCAACCAAAGGGAAAGATACCTTGTTATCTGCAACAATTCTGCTCCCTTCAGATGTTATGCAGGATTGTGCTACGCAGCAAAAGAAGCAAAAGGAACAGTGAGCTCATAGGAAATGTGTGCAAGGAAGTGAATGGAGTCATTTTCTTTGCACACTGTTTTGCTAAGAGCATACACCTGAATGTGTGTAAATACACATTTGAGAAATTAAGGGGCTCCAGAATTTTCTCGAAAGTACTCATTTAAAAAAAAAATACTGTAACAAATTGCATTTTCAAAGAAAAATATATGATAATGTAATTAGAACATTATTTTAATTCACACCCCCCAGAGGCTGGAATAAATGTCTCTGTTGCAACCTTCATACTTTGTGCTTAATTGTGCAATCTTCACATGCTCATAACTTAGTTTATTTTTAGTGTGCTCGGTGAAGGTTATGCTGTGTTCTGTGAAGGTTTATTTAATTTTAGCAGGAGGAAAAAAGCATCTGATAGCCAGGCATTTTTTAAGCAAATTCTAACAGGGTATATGTATCTATTTCATGATTTCTTCTGTAATTGCATTGTGAGGGCTATGTGTGTAGAAGCTGTTACTAGAAATGAAATTTTATGTCTCTTTTTTTTTTTCTTTTAAAGCCTGTAGCAGGCTGAAAGAGCAGTTGCAAGAGTTTTCCTAATAACTACTTCTGAAAAACCTCCAAACTAATAATGAAGAATGTAGTCTTCTTTATCTTTTGTCTGTGTCCCATTTCATCTCAGAAATATTTAGATCAAAATAGATTAGAAGAATTTCAATAGCATATCAGAAAAAAAAGAGAGATTAGGTTTGTTTGAGGCTATACCATATATTTACATCCAGATTCTAAAGTCACTCAGAACTTTTAAAGCTGTGCTTTGTACCATGTTTGGACAAGGATTTGGGGGGGGGGGGGGGGGGGGGGGGGGGGGGGGGGGGACAGGAGAGAGGGGATGAGAAGGAGGAATAAATTAGGAAATTGTAGTAGGATACAAAATTACTTTCATTTGAGATGATTTATCTAAATTGGAATTCTTCAGAAACCATGAAAAAGCAGTTACACTGTTTCTATGCTTCAGGGATCTTAATGTAGTCTAAGTCAAAATAAAAAGGGAAAAGCAGAAGTGAGTTAGATTACTTTCTTAGTGATTCTAAAGAAAATAATTGTGTTTATGCTTTTTCCATAACTTAGACTCCTGGAGGTTTTGGCAATGGTTATAAAACTGTCAGAGTGGTGTTGGATGGATAGAATCTATCATGTAAGCTAGTGCTTGACTGAAGAATCCTGCTTTTGATTATGAAAAGCTACTTACTCGAGATTCCCTTTTGTTTTATTTTGCATCCATTTTATTGCTGCGTGAAAAATGTACTAGTCTAATTCTTTCCAAAGAGCAGGTGGTCAACAGTAGGAAATGATTTCACCGAACAGATTTCACAGGGTCCTAGCACCACTGGGAGGTAGGGTTTATACTTGGGATGAGTGACTTGACTGTATGCACCTAGCCCTGATGGTCTGAACTATCAGAATGGTCCTCTCTGTTTTTTTATGTTGCCACAGCTGTGTACATTCTGGGAGCTATGTAGACATTTTCACATATTTGCATAATAAGCCTGAAATAAAGATCAAGAGCTTGATTTTGCATGTGTCAGCTTTGCTCGTAATTTTTGGGTTGCTCTCAGAGTTTTACTGACAAGCTTGAGTAGAGGAGACTTGGTGATAGATAAACTTGTCTTAGGGCTGATAGTCTCAAGACATGGAAAAACTTTATTATTTTGAATTCTGTACTTTTATAGTCTTTATATAGCTATAAATAATGCAGTCATGCAGCCTTTTTCTTGATTATTATCATTCAGCTTTTGTTTGTTATCCATCAGGCAGTATGTAGCCAGATATTAGCTTATCAAGTCTGAAAAATTCACCAAGGGTGAAGGAAGCAGAATCATCATGCTTGCTCTCCACATTCCATGCAAAAGATTTATTTTGAAAACAAACCTTATTCTTAAGAAGTGAAAGGAATGTTGCTTGATGCACAGTGAGAACAGTGAGGTGTTCTGCATCTAAATGAAAGGTCTCTCAAGTTGCAATATGAAAAGCCTGGTGCCAGTGTAGTGCGCCAGGGATTTTTCAGCAATGTTTCCAATTAGGACTGGCTCTTGTTATCTGCAAAGTACTGTATATTGTTTGTAACACAGCTGGAAGTCTGTCAGGTTCTTTTCACTACTTGTAAAAACTGGTGATTGGAAAGATGAGCTGGCAATGCTCCCCATACACAGTCCCCTCTGTAATGACCTGTTTTCTTCTGCATCTTTTTATTGCAGTCATGCTCTCCAGGTTTTTACAGGCTTCCATCTCCACCTGCAGGAAGGACACCTGCTCAGTCCTTAGGTGCCTGTGTTGTATGTCAATGTCATGGACACAGTACTATGTGTGACTCTGAAACATCGATTTGTCAGGTATTACATTTCTGAACTTATGCACTAGGTTGATCTTAATGTAAAATTCATAAGTTGTGTAACTGATCAAAAAAAATAGAGGACAATATTTTAATCCAATTTCACTTAAGTACATTAAGTGTCAAAGTTCAATGGAGGGGTCATAAAAGCAAACTACCTTTAGAGTTTTTTGTTCTGTATTTCTAGGGTTCAGATTATGTAGTGGCTTTTTTTCTCTGAGTTACCATTTGTGGAAAAAAAAAACAAAACAAATCAAAACAAAACAAACAAACAAACAAAACAAAACAAAACAAAACAAAAAAAAACCCAGATACCTGCAAACTAAAAAGATGTACTGTGTATTGTGCAATAAATATAACACTGCTCTTATAGGTAATAATACACGTGACCTGATATAGTAAGACTGAATTTTACTGGACTGTTTCTCCTGCTTCAATGTCTGGAACAGAGGATGGAAGGAAGAGTGAATGGGATAAGAAATTCCATAGGATATATCTGGCTAGCTACACATCTCTGTTCTTTCTCCTAGTAAATCCATATAGAACTCAGCAGGTATTTGATAGATGCTTAAAGCAAGCAGTTCTGTTGTGAATCATATCAAGGAGAGAGAAATTATGAATCAAAATAAGTTGGAAACCCTGAGGCTAGGAACAAAATGTTCTCTCCTTTCTTGAAGTTATCAAACACAGATTTCGTTCTGTCTCCTTCCTCTGCAGAATTGTCAGCACAATACTGCTGGTCACCACTGTGAGCGATGTGCACCAGGATTTTATGGCATAGTCCAAGGCTCTCCTGGTGACTGTCAGCCCTGTGCTTGTCCCCTGTCCATTTCTAGTAACAAGTAAGTAAGCAAACTCATGATACAGAATTACCTTTCCAGCAAGCAAGAATTTCATTTTGGGTTCGCTGTGTCCATTTTCAGGTGGCTACAGTGGAGCTGCATCATGAAAGCCATACTAAAAAGTTTTACCTCTGCTAATTGATTTTCCTTTAAAAGTCGGAAATTGCTCCCTTGCTAATTTGTGATTAATAAATTAATAAGTGCTGGAAAATGCAATACTCAACAGATAACAAATGTGTGTTATAAAGGTATTCTCGCAAATGAAGCTAGAACACAACTCAAGTACAATACAGCCACAAGGGAGCTGTAAAAAGTCTTGTGCTCATACATTATGTTGATATAAATGTGTTACAGTCCCTTTCTTGCTCCACTGTGGAATTTATTGATTCCTTATTTAATGTTACATGAGTTTTAGGCAATTTGTGAAAGATAGAATAATTTAAAAGCAATATAGTTATTGCAGCATAAATTTTATTGGTTGCTTTATGCTAATGAGCCTTGCCACAATGTCTCCGCATGTATTCCCAACAGATGATACTTTAGCACTTGAGATTTGTTTGTTGTTTTGCTAAGAAGCTCTTAATGATATTTGGAATCATACTGTAATACTGCTCTGAAAAGGTTTGTGTCTTATGATCGTTCTCTTGGAAAGTTGAAAGTGTTCCTTAAAGCCAATTTCCTGTGCTATTTCTGACCTCTTTTTAGTGAGTATTTCAGCCATTATATCTGAGAGGTTGCTTTGTTTTTTTTCGTCTTTATTCTTCCTTTTGTCATTTTGAGGGGGGTCCAAGGTTTATTTTGAAGGAAGGAATCCCTTTCGCAAACATCAGTAGCAAAACACATTGTGATTTTTCATCCATGATGTGTTTTTAAGAAGGCTTCAAAACCTCAAATACCAAACTAAGAACAACTGAAACAATGATGAAAGGGACTTACAGAAATACCCTTTATCTCAGAAAGTTCTGATGTGGTCTTAACTAAAAGTTTTTCTGAGTTGTATCCATTTTCAACAACGTTTTCTGTTATTACTTGATTACGTGTTCTATCTACTATTATCAAGAAAGGACATTCAATTTGCAAAGAACAAAATCAACTAAGAAAATTAATTACTATCTCATGATTAAGTGTATTTACTAATTTCAGACTAGGTGCTATTTACTTCTCAGCTTTGCACATCAGCAAATACACTGGAAAAAAATGTTTTCTGTTACTAATTGACATTAGGAAGTACTGAAAATATCACTTGATCCTATTTTTTTCTGTGTCTTAAGAAACTTTGGCTGCCCAGAAATACATGTGTTAGTTCAGAAAATGAACAGGACTCTTCAGGGTGGTTATGGCACTCTGCTACAAGAGTTTAGACATATTCTCCACACTGTGCTCCAGAAATCACTTCAGAATCTTATCTAATTGCTAATGTAAGCCATAGGAGGTGGGTGTCACTGAAGTGCTCCACAGCTGAGAAGTGTGTGGACTCCAGGTAGTATGTGTGCCCTGGGTGCACACCCAGGCTGCTGAGCTGCCTAAGGAAGGGAGGGTGAGCAAAGCACCAGTACCTTGTGCAGCCATATGTCCTGCGTGGCTGCAGATGTTGTCACAGCCACTTGTCATGCTCACATAGAAGTGATCATGAGGCTTTTTTGTTCAAAAGCCTTCAAAGAAGATAAGTGAGTAACACCTAGTCTGAAATTAGTAAATACGCTTAATCATGCGCTAGAAATCCATTTTATTATTGCTTTTGAGAAAGGAGTCAGATCTGAGCATGTCCAAAAAGAGAACTGCTTGGGGTTTATAGAGCTTAATTCAGATGTCTCTAGACATCATGGATGGGATTTCTACTTCTATTATCTGTAGGCATCAAGAATTTTGATACCTGTATAGTAAATGCAGGGACAGAGAACTATACATCTCACCCGTGTTAAAACTGAAGGGAAGTGCCATTGGAAAGAGGGCGGGGGGGAGATGTTTCACATGTGTGTATATGCCTGAACAGCTGGCTTAGACTGGATGCCTAGCATTTAGATGGAAAGGCCCAGGTGTCCATTCCGTAAAGCTACAGAATTAGGTGTAAAATGAGGGTATTGCACCTTGGATATGTGTGAGTTGTACAGCTCGCTGAAAACTCTTCAAGATACTATTAAGGAAAGAAATCTAACTACCTGCAGCTGTGGTGTGGTAGTTGAGCAATCATAATCAGCATGAAATTCAGATAGCATTATTATTTCATGACTGACATGATAATATTTGTGAAATAGTACAGTGCAATTACTTTTATTTATGAAATTTTGCAAAACGCCACCAAGATTTTAAATAGTACTTTTATACTCCTGTACAGTCATCAGTCAGCTTCAAACATGATGAGCTGAAAAAAAACAAAAAAAAACAAAGAACAGAGAGAATAAGTTGATCCTGGGGGTGTGGATCTATTTTTATAGAGTTGAAAATGTGTTGGATAATGAGTTCGTGGTGAGTAATAGATCAATTTGTTTACATCTTTTGCAAAGGTGCAATTTTATATACTCATTCAAGCATTATTGGATTAATGCATTATAAGCAAGTTGGAGTAGGATGCTGATGAAGGAGCTCTGGGCTTACCACTAGCCACCTCTGTGCTTTTCTAGTTCTTCTTCCACAAAGAGGTGAAGAAGTTTTACAGGGTTGCACCATTTTAATATTTTGTTGTATTTATTTTCCCCTGCCTTCACTTTTTGTGTGTTTTAACTGTCTGTGCTGGCACTTAATGCATGAATATTCCAGCAACATGGTACTCTGCATAGCTCCCATAGGTGCACACTGCAGTCACTAGTTACTCATCTATGTCATGGCTTAGTAAAAATAATCTAATGTATTCTATGATTAGAATACAACCCCTCCCTTATCATGAAGAAGGTAGCTTTTAGGTTTTGGTTTTTTTTTTTTTTTTTACTCTGTAGGCCAGTCTTTTCTCTTCAGTACATCCTTGAGAAGATCATCAGACACTGCCTTTTTGGAAGATTCCACATGGCTATCTGTAAACTCTTCACAGCTTACCCGCTTTGATTCAAAATAAATTAAATCAGACTGGAAAGTATAGTTGTTTGTTAGCTCAGTTTCTTAATCCGTTTCACATCCTCCCTATTACTACCATTTCTTGATCACTGTGAGTGGAAGCACCATTCGGTCATAGAAGCCTACAGCACGGGCACTGTTGTCTCCAGCCCCTCTGTCGTGACCCTCGTTGATTCTGCCCTTCCAGCATTTTTCTGATTTGTGCCAGTATCACAGCAAGACATGCACAAAATTCTTAATAGACAGGCGGGATCTCCCACAAGTGTTTATAACCGCCTAAGAAAATGCTGCCATTTACATTAAAAGTGGAGGTTATCGTGGAGCCTCGTGCACAGCTGACTAGGGTGAAATGATGCAATAAGGTGGAAAAAGTTTTTTATTTGCTTTTGTTTTAGTTTTAGCCCTTCTTGTGTTGCGGAAGGACCTAATGATTACCGGTGTACTGCGTGCCCACCTGGATATGAAGGCCAGTACTGTGAAAGGTAGGATGGATAGAGAAAGAAGAAAGAGGGACAATGAAGATATGAGACACATGAAGAAATGAAGGAGAGCAATGTCCTTCAATACTATAAACATATATTTACTAATATTTAAATACACATCTTCAGATAAGTTATTTCCTCTTTATACGTTGTTAATGTACATTTTTATGTACACCCACTATAAAATTATAATCAGTGTTGTTTGTATCACGGGTATTGTCCCAGTCTTGTTTTATGATTTGTGGGATTATTTTCCTCTGGGCCTTGGAAGTTAAACTGAAAAACATGCAATTTATATAAAATTAGATACCGTGTTTATAACGTCTTGATATCACTCATACCCTTTGTTCTAGTGGGTGACTATTGTGGCTTCATAGGCAAAGACTGAAAGACACTCACATGTAGCCTTATTATGACCAAAGTGCAAATTAATAACATGAACAGCAGAAGTTGTCCCATCCATAGCAGTATGGTGTGATTAAGATAATAAAAATCAGCAAGTGTCTACTATGAGATTTCACTTCTAATGCAAAACACAAGTGGCTAGTGGGGGAAAAAATCTTTAGACCAAACATTGCTAATGTAGAAAATATTTTGTCATGGTATAATAGAAGTTTATCTGCATACTATCAAGTGTGTCGAATCACTTTTGCATACTCCTTCCATCGAGACAGTTCCATGTCCTGGTTAAAAGTTATTAGCAGTTTGTTGGACAATTGGCAACATTTCTCCCTGTACAGATGTATACTGAGTCATGAAGCACCAGAAGTTTTTTTTTAGTGGTTCATGAATTAATGTTCATACACATTTTCTTTACAATCTTGCCAAGTATTCATTTTAGTACACTGTGTGTCTCAGTTGGCCAAACCTGGTTTTGTGTTTGCAATGTCTAGGTGCTCTTCTGGCTACACGGGAAACCCACAAACTCCAGGTGGCTCCTGCCAGGAATGTGAGTGTGACCGATATGGTTCCCTGCCCGTCCCCTGTGACCCTGTGACCGGACAGTGCACTTGCAGGCCTGGATTCACAGGGTGGAAGTGTGCTGGCTGTGAACATCGGCATGCACGCGATGGCATGAAATGCATTTGTACGTATACTAACGTAATTCTGGAGAATTTTGGATTGTGGTATTTCAGAAACTCAACCCTGCTTGTCCGTGAGTCACTTGTGTGGATTTCTTTGCAAATAGTTGCTGTGTTTCCTGCTACTTCTGGCATTCTAGTCCATTTTTTCCACAAGCCTTAAGAAGTTAGAACTTTCAATACATTGTAATATGCTCACTGAAAATTGACAACAAAGCTTGAAGGATTTCTTTTTGTGGGTTTTTGAAATCTGTACTTTTGCTAAAGGTTGTCACGGCTGTTGTGACAATATTTGCTCCTAGTAAACTTTTTAGTGTTGTCCTAAATATTTAACGGGCAATTGCAGTGCTCTGAGCCATGAGTCACACAAAGTTTTTATTAAGGTTTTCTTGGTCATGTTGGTGTAATAACCACCTGCTGGAATTTAAGTCATAAGGAATGACAGTAGAACATATGCAGGAATAAAGAACTAAACCAACAAGTTATATTTTGCAGTACTGGTATCTTTGCCCTACCTTCAGTTTTCATATGTACCAAGTATCTTGTCTTTTAGTATTATTTAAATTTTTTTTTCCATGAAATTGGGTAGTATTTGTTTTGAGCCCATAAACTCATTTGCCATGGTATTGTATGTTTGCATGTTTATGTCTTATCAAAAACATTCAGGTAAAAAAAAAAAAAAAAAAAAAAAAACACACACAAAAAAACCCAAAAACATTTCTAGCACACTTAGCAAATCCTAACTGAAATAAGGTATTTTCGTCTCCTCCATCTCCCTCAACTGAGTAGGAACTAATTTTATTGTGATTTCTTTTTTCCTCTCAAGGCCATCATTGTTCATTTTAAAGCAGAATACAGATACAGGTCCAGTAAGTCCACAGTATATAATATTTCTTAATCTGAACATCCTTGAATATATTGGCGAGGCACAATGAACTGTTTTTAATGTTTTGCCTGATTTTTATCTGTTACAGGACTTTAATTGGACCTCTTTCATTTTGGGATTGGTTTGGTTTTTTTGATTTTTTTTGCCTGTGTGAGGGACATATAACATCAAGGCAAGTAGATACCAGAGAAAGAGCTTTTCTTTTTTTTGCCCCCCACAGAATGCATTCAAGCTCTACCTCAATATCTAGAGGTGTACAGCCCTCTAATATTAAGATCAGCTAGTACAACTCAAATTGGAAATATTTTAAAAGCAGTTTGGAGAAATAAAGAAACTGAAGAAATGCTAAAAATGAAGTTGCCATATCAGTCAAGAATGAAATGTGTGGCTTCTCTGATTAGTTAAAGAGGAAGACATTAGGCATGTAGGTCAAAACTACACAGTGTAGAACATTGGACTTGATGATCTTAAAGGTCTCTTCCAACCTAAAGGATTCTGTGATTTTATGATTCAATTTAATTGTGATCAGCTCTCAAAGAGTTATCAGGACTTAGTAGAACTACACTTCTAAATGTGATTACTGAGTTAAGAGTTAGTCCTAATTCCCAGGTACAACTCTTCTTTGAAAATTAATGGAGATTACCAGAAATATAGACTTAAATACTTCTGTTTCTCTATTATGAATAATATGACATTGGTTCCTTGATAAAAAGCTTGGTCTGCTTAAGGGAAATACAGTTCTAATGTCCTGCAGTGCGATGTAGTTTGTGGCAAAGGGAATGTGGCAATCATAGACTTGATGGGACTTTGCCCATGGATAGCACTGCTTAGTATGTCACAGGTTTCAGAATACAGCTGTTTTCTTCTGATAGGGATTCATTGGTGCAGCCCCTAGTGTGCTTTCATAGTCACTGTCCTGTCAATGACCCATTAGAAATACCTTTTAGGGAAACCCTGGAATTTTCCTTCTTTACTCCCAGAACAGTTATCTGTTCCAATCTGAGTTTAATGCAGATAAGAATTTGGTCCTATATACATTTTTACTTTCATGTATCAGCCACTTCCAAAACACTCAGCAAATTCCCTTCTGGTTAGCTTCAGTTTTAACAAAACCTTAATAATGATAATAATGGTGATTAAGTACTCTTAATGTACAGAAAATTGATGTCATATGCAGAATCCTGTTTGTATTTAGTTATATTTAGTAAATTATTAGATTTCAAATTAGCTGTATGCAGGTATGTACTCTTGTTTGTTTGCAGAGTTCCATTGCAAATACTGCTATTGCTATGTACCTGTCAGAAGTGTGAAGAACCCCTTAGGTGGTAAAATGGTCTAGCTTAAAGAAAGTGCATGCAATACAATCATCCATGTTTGAAAAAAATGTAGTTTTAATATAAAACAGTGTGATTAAGCTGTCCAATGTTAGTATAAGTTAATATTTAGGAAAGTAAAAACTGATTTTGAAAATTTAGTAAAGAATAACCATCTGAATAATGAATTTTTGCAAATTCTCCTGGAGGTCATTGCACAGTATGACATGAAAGCTAAATAATGCATATTTAAAGCAAATATGAGAGGTATTTTATGCACAATATTGTCATGTATTATTGTTTAAGTATAACATTTATGCCTTCATGTACCCCTTCTCATAAGGACTCTAAAGATTTTTATAGTCAAAATTTGCGGTGAAAAGACAGGGAAAAAATGGAAGAACGTGCGTGTTCATTACAATGATCTATTTCTAGTATTGCTGAAAATCTGTTTTAGCAGGTTCTTACTGTTTTTTTCATAACACGTCATTTTTCATTTGCTTAGTACATGCCACTTTTCAGTGCTGGATTACAATACTTATATTTTAGAAAGCTACAGGTAGAATGGGAAGACAATATAATTTTTAAAAGTCACTATACAAAGGGGAAGAATTTGTTTACAGATAAGTAACAATGGAGAGATAATTACAGATGAATGACATAGACAGAATTCTTTTGCCATTATAGTCTTAGAACAGAACAATGTTATTTTCTCTGCAGTGCCATTAGGGAATGTAAAATGATATCCAAAAAGTAGACTTTTATTTTTTTAATAAGTAATACAAGTGTCTGAATGGTCTACTAAAAATAAAAATTTCAGATTTTTGACATTAGAACAGCAAATAACTCAATTGTTTCACCAGCTAAAGTGGTCATCTAGATCATCATATACAGATACTCATAATAGTCTGCTGATGAAGCGTAGCTTGTCATTTTTTATCTCAAGTAATCTACTTCTTAGGCTTACTTTCTATTCTCTTTTGAAACAGACAGTAGCCAATAAGAAGGTCAGTGATGATAACAAACTAATTTTAATTATGCTTCCATGCTTGTATAGCATCAAATATGACAAAAGTTCTCCCAGATCTTCTCTAATGGTTACAGATTTTTTTTTTTTTTATTTGTAACTACACATTAATTGTCCTCTAAATGATTGATGTGCCCTTATGCATCACTCATTTTACTGCAATAAATATATATCTCAATTTTTATTCTGCTGAAAGTTGTCAGCTGGTAATTGCTGACTGGTCTATAATCGCTGCAGTATTGAAGATGTATATTTTCTCTTTTCTTGGTTAAACCCAACTGTTCCAATCCAGAACGCAGCTGAGTTGTGTGATGAACAGGAGCAGCCTTTCCTCAATTCATCTGACCCAGCATGCTCAGGCAGACTGAGATCATTAGTATCTGCTTGATTCATATTTTATGCACACATACCAGAAATTGGTAAACAAGCCAAAGCATGTATTTTTCCCTCCCCATCCTTCCCAAAGAGCTTTCACCTTAGTAAGCTGACATGGAAAGTAGGAGCTACAAGGGGTTTTGGATCAAGCCTGTAGCAATCATGTATTTTCTTACATATTAGTAATTCTCATGTGTATTTTCTGTTACATCTGGTTATATTGCACTTCAGTTCAAGACTTTGTAGTACATAAAATAAAGAACCTCAGACTGCAATGTTGTTGGAACAGTGACTGCTGCTGTGCCATGCTTGGGGAGAAAAAAAATTACCCTGGTGAGAACCTGAGGCCTTTATGGTTAAACATACGGCACATCAGAACTCATCTTCTGAATGCTTTCAGGTCACCAATCATAACTACAATGGAGAATTCAAAAAAAATTTACTTCAATATTTTGATCTCTGTTGCGATACAAACTGCAAAACCTTTCTTCAGATGTATGCTCCTGTCACAAATGTTCCTTGAGGTCAAGCAAAAGCCTAAATGTAAAGAAGTCGATGTGGTTCTGCTGTACGAGATTAACAGGGCACAGGAAGAAAACATGGCATAGAGGGATCAAACAGATATTTCATTGTTAGGAATTTTTCTTTAGCTCAATCTTGGGGAAAAAAAGAGGATTTTCAGCCCTGCTGCAGTCAACAGAGTTGCACCTATATGAATTTAAATATCGAATATTGGTAGAAGAAGAGAATTATGTAATCATATATCCTTAATGCCAGATACTGGACATTTGAATATTGTACTTTAAGTAGACTGGTGCTTACAATGAGAGGGAGTTTTTTAAAAAACAGGTAGTAGCTCCATCCCTTCCAAATTCAGAACTAACAGTGATGCTGTCTCTATCGGAGGCAGATCTTGAATCTGTGAAAAGAAGCATCTCCTAGGTCCTACACAGTCCTCCATTCAGCAGGCGCTGGGAGCTTTTTATTGCAAGCCTTCACAGAGTGAGCTCAAAAAAAAAGATACTGTGTGTAACACCAGATCTATGAAACCTTGGACTAGCTTCTGCTATATTCTTAGTTTAACAGAAGTTGTGAACCCTTATGACACAGCTGTGAGAATTAAGCCAATGGTACTGGAAAACTTCTGTCTGCGTTGAACCCAAAGGATGGGCACTCCTACTTGGCTTTAGAAGTTAATAAGCCCATTTTGTGATGCATGGGCCCCTTTTGAGTTTAGACCCACATTCACAAATGTCTTTCACCCAACTCAAACACTGTAAAAACCTAACTAGTACTGGTATGTATCAGAACAAATAAATAAGGCTTTTTAAATAACAAAAATCAGAAATAGAATTATAGAATCCTTTAAGTTGGAAGGGACCTTCAAGATCATCAAGTCCAACCATTGAGCCATTAGGGCTCTAAAGTTCCCTGCTAAAACAGATCAGAATCTGTCAGGGTTGGAAGGGACCACAAGGATCACCCAGCTCCAACCCCTCTCCCATGAGCAGGGACACCTCCCACTAGATCAGGCTGCCCAGAGCCTCATCCAGCCTGGCCTTAAAGACCCCCAGGGATGGGGCCTCAACCACCTCCCTGGGCAACCCATTCCAGGGTCTCACCACTCTCACGGGGAAGAACTTCTTCCTCACATCCAGCCTGAATCTGCCCACTTCCAGCTTTGCCCCATTCCCTCTAGTCCTGTCGTTAGTCGATATCCTAAAAAGTCCCTCCCCAGCTTTCTTGTAGGCCCCCCTAAGATACTGGAAGGCCACAATAAGGTCACCTCAGAGCCTTCTCTTCTCCAGACTGAATAGCCCCAACTCTCTCAGCCTGTCCTCGTAGGAGAGCTGCTCCAGTCCTCGTATCATTCTCATGGCCCTTCTTTGGACACGCTCCAGCAGGTCCCCATCCCTCTTGTAATGGGGGTTAGTACTTTAGACCCTGATCTGGATCTGAATTCTCCCAGATTTTAGAGGCATAACGATCATGCAAACTCCCTGAAACCAACAGCAATGACAAGGAAGCTTTCAGCTCTCTACTGGGGTGCTGTTTTGGGGAATAGAGTGGGATTTTTTTCTTATTTGGTATGAGGCTAGTGCCAAAATGGGAAAAACAGGGTAAGAGCCAATAGATTAATGAACCTAACAAAGTTCAACATTTTATTGTGAAGGAACAGGAAACTAATGGTGAAGAGCCAATGACTATCATAGGATAATACCTCATACCAGAGATTGTGTGCTTGCCCTTAGACTAAAAATTACCTAGTCATAACACAGCCTTCTGTATCTTAACAGCAAGGAATATATTAAAGCAAAATTGTGTTAGACAATAAGTCAATTAGAGGAATATATTGCAGCTCGGACATGTGATTCTTTTATTGTACATGATCTTAGCTATGTAAGATGGAATAAGTGGTTAGACATTCATAAATTTAATGTCTTTTATTATTTGAGTGATTATTAAAAAAGAATTCATTGGCATGCGTACTTTGGAGATGCTTCTCACAAGAGGCAAGTCAAAATCCTTACTTACTGTGCATGGGAAAGTGTGGTGAAAATGGAAAATGCATTAATTTGCCTTAATTACTTGCTGAACTATTGAAATATCGACTGCATGATTTGCCTCTTACATGCTTGCACTGCTGTAATGATTTGAATTTAGTGCTGCTTTTGTTAATATTGCACACAAATTTATCCTGACAGTTTTATAGATAGCCACAGAAGTATTTTGTCTTGCAAAATATAATCATGCTCTTGAAATATTTCTTGTAGCTACAGTAGATTTTAGACTGTGTATTGAAGTAGCTTAGTCCTGTCTCATCTACTCAAGTGTGGTCTTCGCTTGATGTAGTTCCTGTTTTCAACCTGATTATTGTGCAAGAGGTGTTAATTTATACTGAATCATGCTCTCTTATCAACTGTTTACTCATTGAGAATACTTCATCTCTTCATAAGCTGTTCATTTTTTTTCTTATTGGTGTGAACTGTGTTCGTCTTGAACACATAAATTTTTAGCATTTTATTACCAACCACTCTGACAATTTTGAGTGTGAACAGATTTATCTTGTTTCATAAGTGAAATAATGCATCAGGAAAAAAAAAAATCCAAAACACAACCAAGAAAAAAAACAACGAAAACCAACTTTTTTCAGGTCTGAGATCACTTATTTGCATACTGCGAAATGATTATCAGGTCTACTTACCTTCTTGACCAGCTACAAAACAGGTGTTAGTTATATGAAACATTTGGTTGACTGTAAAATTTGCTTTTCCTTTAATTCTCACAGACTTCTAAAGAAAGCACACCAGATGACAAGAGCTGGGATGGTAATAGGTTTGGGTTTTTTTTTTTTAATTTCACATGGAAACTTAAATCAGAATTTATCATGCTCACAGTTAACAACTGCAGGGAAGTTCCAGTGTAGTTCAGTTTATGTAAAAAAAATACTGTGAAATAGGCAGAAGTCGTCTGCAAATAGAAGCAAGGAAAATGCAAAAGAAAGTCTTAGAATAACAGTATCTGGTTTTCTGCACCCACTTCATACTGCACTAAACCAGCATCTATCTTGTCTCCTTTTCACTCATCACATGAGCTTCATGGTGTGTTAAACTAGTATTCATTGCTCTTCTTTTCTCTGGATTTGACTCAACTCCTTGCTGTATTGAACAGCCAACCTACAGAATAAGAACAATGTTTAGAGAACTGAAACTTTTAAAGAACAGAAAAAATTATTCAAGTGGAAGAATAGATTTCAGGAAAAAAAAATGTAATTCTCCATTGAAAATTTATTTGTTTTTCTACAAATACATACCTGTTGTTTAGGGTTTTTTTGTTTGTTTGTGTTTTTTTAGCCACTGAGCCACCTAGGAATGTTGCTGAAATAAATAAGTGCATACCTGTAAAACTTTGGGTACAACCCTCCACATCTCTTAATGTCATCGATGAATTAATTATTTCACAGTTTGCTCCATCTCCTAAGATACTGTTTAGGTTTGCCAGTTCTGTGTAGAATCTTTATGCAGGCAAACAGAGGGACATTTCCACAACTCTGTTCTAAAGGATGAAGAATTTTCCTGTCAACAAGACTTCAGGGTTATGAGGATTTCTTGTGGTAGTTAACAGAAAGCACAGAGGGGCAGAAATGCAAACGCCTCTTGCTATATGCAGCACACACCAGTATTTTTCATGCTAAAGAGTATTTGCAAGAGAGGAACATATATGAAAAACTTATAAAGCATTTATGAAAAGGAGGTAGAGAAAAGCATTTCTTAAAGGAAAACTGTTAGTATTTTTATGTGGACTCTTTCTGCTCTCTGCATTACAAGTTTAGCATGTTTGGCCATGCTGTTAAATGACTACAAAGTATGTAAATTGAAAGATTTCTTTATTTTTTTCTTATGTTCAATTCCACAAACATGCTATACTTCTTAAAGTACTCTTTAGACTTTCTGAATTACCTGTCCACTTTTCTCAAACTTCATCCTCATTGCTTGTCTAATTTAGGATTTTATCTTGGCTTGTCCATAATGGACAATGTTAATTATTTCCTCTTTTTGTGACGTGAAGGCCAAAACTGGTAGACTTATATTTTACAGTAAACTGTCCCATTGCCAAGTCCCAAGCAATAAGGTCTCTCCTGTTCCCTAGCTGTAGTTTTCATTTTTTCTCACGCTATGCTTTTGGAGCCAATTAACTGAAATTACTGTTTCCTCTCCCAGAATTACGTGTGCCATGAAATTTCTAACTCAAACGTGTATCTTAAACAGAGAGAATAAGTAAGATTTGCTGTTATCCCCCCAGCTTGTGATGATGAATGCACAGGACTCCTTCTCAGTGACCTGGATCGGCTAAACCAAATGATCCTGAGTGTTAACCTCAGTGGTCCACTGCCTGCTCCATATAAAATGTTGCATGGGTTTGAGAACATGACACAGGAATTAAAGGTATGTTCAGAGTATTCACATACATAAATAACAGGGCTTCAGTGCAACTGTACTTGAGTCTCTTAAAATATACAGCTGTGAGTAGGTTCAGGAAAGAAGGAAAATTCAAGATTTAATTACTTCAAACTTGCTTTCACTGATAAATAGTTATTACAGCCATTTATTTTGACTTATTTTAATAAATAAATCTTGCAGCAGTAATTTGTATACACATATGCAGGGAATTATACTGCAGACACGGAAGAGGTAATGTCACATACAAATAAAAAAGTGCTCGTGGCCCCTAAAGTGGTTAGGTATTTTATGTACTGTATGCTTCCTACCGTACTTGCAGTTTCTTCACTAAACTATGTAAAGCTGTCGAGATTCTTGAGAAAAGTGTGTTGGATGGATGTGACACAAGAGTCAGTGACAAAAAGGAGCTGCATACTGTAATGAAAAGGAAACTTGTGATGGTTCTTCTCTGCAATATTTGGAAGCACTGAGATCCATTAAACACAGATTTTTTTCACTCTCCCTCCTCTCTTCCCCACCAGCATTTGCTTTCACCTCAGCGAGCGCCAGAGAGACTTCTTCAGCTAGCACAAGAAAATCTGGATACCCTGGTGACAGAAATGGATGAACTACTGACAAGAGTAAGTCTATGATAACATTGGGGTCTATGGGTTTGGTTAAGCCTGCATAATGATGGAAATCTTCTGAATATGAATTAAACATGAACGAATAGATGAATTATAAGATGCTTCTCAGTCTCAGTGTTTGAAATGGCAGCAAGTCCTCTAACAAACTCTTTTTGTCAGCCAATATACTGAGATATATTTTCTGCAAAACTTTATAATAATGTAAGAAAACTTTATAGTGTTCACACATAGCACCCAAGAATGAGCTTATTTGGAAAAACTGACAATAAAGGAGACAGTTTTTGATACAGCATTCATGGGCTTCCTGATGACTTCAGCTACAGGTTGTGTTATAAACCTAATGGCAATAAAACCATGGGATTATCCCACAGTTAATACGTCTGGAGTTTCACTGGCTGAGGCTTTTGGAAACTGAACTGCCTGGTTTCCTTCCTTCTCTTCTGATCATTAGTACTGTCTCTAGCAAGGTTATCTGCTTTCTGCATCAGCATCATCATCTCATCATATTCCCTTTCAAATCTCATGAGTCTGACTGTCTGAAGACAGTTCTTTGCCTGTTTCTCTTTTAAGATTGCCTGTTGCAATACAAGTAGCCTGACTTCACTCGAAGTCACTTGGTGCCCAACCATCTCAAGCACATACAGGAAAAGTTCTGCTGTTTTGCAGTTTCATTTTCCGTTTTGGTATCTGTGTTGTGTTGGCTTGTTTCACTGGGAGCTGTAGAGCAAATGGCAGCTTAGCCCGATTCTGTTATTTTAAAGAAAATCCTGATTTAACAGGTAACAAGTTCTCAATAAGCGTCAATGAATGAAATTACTGAAATGGGGACAATATTTAGAGGAAGAAGTCAAATACATGCACAAGTTGTGTGAATTTAGTTAAATATATGTGCTCTATATTTCGTTTATGAGGGTAGTGAAAGTATTCTGGATTTCAGTCGGTGTGCTATTTACTCTTTGGATTAGGGAAGTTTTATTTCAATATAGAACTTATTTTGGGCAGTAAAGACATAGTTTAAGAAAATAATATAAATTGTGCCACCTAGTGGAAAAAGAGATAGGGCAATGGACCGGCCACAATAAAAAAGCTGTCCAAAGTATCTTAGTATTAAGGTCTAGCAAAAATTGAGTTCATGAGTTGTGTTCCCCTGCCTTGAAACAGCCGAATAAGAAAGACCTAGATACTGTACTGATGCATATACACCTGAGAGTATTTACCTAAACTGCAGATAGTTTTATCATCCTTGCTTAAAACTGTTTGTGGCTTACAGAACTAAAATTCTGAGGGAAACTGGTTTGTTTGTGTGGATTATATCGGATTTTGAAAAAAAAATATTAATTCATGGGTAGTTGGTATCTGTATTGTGTTTATGTGTGTCTATATGCCCACATATAGCTGCCTACATAGTTACCTATCTATACATACTCTCATCTTGAGTAGAAAGAAAGCTTTTTTTTTTAACTTCTATTTGATCTTTTCTTTTTCTGACAGAAATAGCTATGGTAGTTTTAGGTCTAAATGGATTTTTAACTCATGACAGCCCTATAAGATAGGAAGATTATATTTCTTGTATTAAGATTTCTCAATTTAGTGCCAAGCCTTTTTTTTTTTTTCCTTTTGCATAGTTGCCCTTTTTAGTATCATTTTCCAATTGCCCCCACCAATTAAATAAGTTTTAATCCCCCATGGAGATGACCTAAAATAATGTTGTAAATTCTTACCTTCTGTAGACTAGTCTTGCAAGGGAAATTATTTAAGGTCTGATCTTAGTGGAGTTAGTGTGGTGGCCACATTATCACTACTTCCCTTTCTGCAGTTTTCCATTTTTTTAATAGGTAAATAACCTTGTAATTGCCAGCTATCCTTACAGAGTTTTGTTAACTAGACTGCAGTTATTGTTTTTTAATTTGGGGACTGGCATCTTTCTCTGTTTGTAAATAGGAATAATGTCCCAAAAAGCAGAGTGTATAGTGGTATAGTGTGTTTGAGTCTCATTTCCAAGTGAAGACATAGGTGATAATCTCATAATAGCTAATAATTGGAGCACATGATACAACCATAAATACCAAAGTTTTTTGCTGTATCTACTCTGTAGGCTCAGTGACTTTTCAAAGTGAAGCCAGTACTGATGAAGAAAAAAGTTGTTTGGTATTGTTGAGGAGTCTGTTTTGGGGAGGACTTTTTGTTTCTTTCAGGAAAAAAAGTAGGAGACAGTAGTATCTAGTCACTTTGGGGGTTTGCTTCCTTATTGTGGTCTCCTTTCAATCAGTGATCTCTTACATCAGTGCAGGATGCCTTTTCCTTTTTTCCCTATCTTATTCTTTCCTTCATTCACTCTGCCCTACAGAAGAACCTCACATCTTTCTTCCACTGATTATGTTCTTAGATATTTGCATGCGCATTCCCACATCTACCACCAGTGGCAGATCTCAGGCTCCTCACTTCCTTTCAGTTGACTACATCTAGTCAAAACCCCCTCTTACCTTTCAGTTAGGTACTTTCAGAGCTTTCAAGAAAGACAGGAATCGGAATTCCTTATCTTGATTGAAGCTGGTTTTGACTTTGTAAACCATTTCTTCCATACCACTGAATTTCTCAAGCTCTAAAATTTCTGGAAGTAGTAGCAGAGGCAACTATGTTTGCACTAGTTTGAAGCATTTAGAGGAAAGCCTAGAACTTCCATCATTACAGTGAAGTCTGTGTTTGCCCCTCCTTCTGTGGTCTGCAGCTCACTACCTGGAGAAATTCCTTTAGGATTCGTCTCCAGAGGAATTTCTTATGGTTTGATTATGACCTCAGACTAAACACACTTAAAAAACTAAAAAAAAAATGTGTGTGTGATTGCTAATACTTGCTAGAAGTCTAAACTTTTAAGTCGCTAACAGTCTTCAGATTGGGACAAAGCCTTCCATAGAACCTTCATCACTAAGTACATGCTGTGAACATCACCAAAGCAGGTTCACTGATTTTAGGTACTTATCTCCTTTATGCCAAATAGTCTTATTTCTGTAGAGACTTCTTGACAATTCGTTCCAAACCCTTGCTCTGGCTCCAGTCTGCCTGATCCTTATTGCTGCTCCAGAAAGAGTTTGTTGTGCCTGTTTAATATGTTAGGGAATGCTGAAGACTGACCTTATAGAAATAATGAACTGCAATAAAGTGAATATTTAGAAAATCAGGAGAACTTTATTAACAAATGGAAACATTTAATTAGCCATGGAATGTCTAGATACAGTGTGAAGCATGTTTGCCATTTAATTTGTTAAAGATAGACAAGATAAAAAAGCAAAAGGTTATTTCTCACCCAAACAAATTATGGCAAACTACAGAAAGCTTTCAGTGGAGCTGAATGGGATTTAAGTACTAAAGAGAACTGTCACTGAGAGGAAATGAAAACTGTTCAATGACAGATTAAGGTGCACAAAAATGTAGTACATGCCATTCAGTCATAGATATTGAGAGAATCAAGTGTCCAACTGGAATTAACATGAATGTGGAAAAAGTAATCAAAACTAAGAAAAGCATATGCAAGTTATAAAACACTATTTGTAGTAAAGGACTTAGAAATATAGAATATAATAGAAGTGAATGTGAAAATTCTAAGCAAATAAAATCCAAAGAATAAAAGGCTGATTATTGAGGATCTGACAATAAATAATAAGATAGTTCTCAACTGCATGAAGAACAAAATTATATCAGACATGCCAAGATGGGTTAGAGCAGTGGTCCATCCAGACCATTTGTGGTTTTGCCTTTTTCCTATCCAAATTGCCTCTTGCAGCTCACTGTGACAATATCAAGGCAGGTAAAAGGTTTTGTGAATCTTAGAGCAGGTAACTAATAACATGAATAAAGCTGTATGAGAAGCCATGTCTCCTACTCATATTGAGGTGAAATAGAAACAACTCCCCCCAGTCACTATGGGTTCTTAGTTCTCCATACAGAATTCTATTTACCTGAACAACTTTCATATAAATTCCTTTTGAAGTAACTATTCTAAAGTAGACTGAAACTGTAAGTGGTATGATAATGCCAGGGATTTAATTTCAAAAACTCAGTTGTCTTGATGTATTTTGAGGGCTTCTGTCTAGATGCTAATTAGGTAAAAATATATGTGTTAAAGTGATACTATTTCTATCTGAGTATTAATGAAAAGTGTGGGGGTTTTTTGTAACTGAGAGAACAGTTTGTACAGCTCAAGTCAAGGAAAAACTAAGCTCATTTTGAATTATTGACATTCTAGCCTTTTCCCAGAGATTGGAGAGATCGTAAGCCCTACTTTGAGACATTTCTTGGGAATGCAGTCCTCAAAGAAAAAACCTGGCTTTTTTTTTTCTTTGCTTTACAATACAGTCTGACAAGTTTTGTCGCTTGAAATGGTCAGCTTCTTTGCAATAAAAATAAGTCCATTTTGTAAATTAGGACTTGGAGAGATAAGTAAAATGCCTTAAGATGATTTCTTTCCTCAGCATGCTTTTCAGGTCTGCAGCAGATATCTGTTGTCATCCTGCTGCTGCTGTGATTCAATAAAATTATAAAGCATTTAGTTACACAAAGCTAAAATTTTACTGAGCACCTGGATATGTTATAAACAAACAACTTCAAGCATTAGAGCTGAAAAAAACAACTTTTTTTTTTCTCTCTTGTTTTAATTAATGTATTGATTTAAAATTCTTCTTGCTTGTTGCCATGAACTGTCTCTTTGAGAGTGCCTCTGGAGAGAAGGCAAAGAGGTCGCGATATCTGCTGCACTTTGTCAATCGGAAAGTGCACGGTTGTGAAACTATGGGAAGTATTCCCTGAAGAATCTATTAAAAGGTTCCAAACAACGTTTCCTTAAGCAAATTCAGTGAATAATTTCATCCTTTCTCCCTCTGTGTGCTGTTGCACACAACTAGTGTTTCTGAGAACCTAAAATAAAGCCTTCCAATTTCCATTTAGAGGATAAGGTAATAAAATTTAATTGTGTACTTGAACAAACCACATAATTTCCCATGCATCTGATCAATAATTCATTGATTGCCTTTTGCCTGAGGAAAGTTTTGTACATAGATTCAACCAGTAGGAATATTGCATAGTGCAGCCTTGTCCTGTTTATTAATTTTGCTTTTCCTGAATTTGGATCACTAGGCTACCAAGGTGACAGCAGATGGTGAGCAAACCAGGCAGGATGCCGAGAGGACTAATGACAGAGCAAAATCTCTTGGACAGTTCATCAAAGGCATTCTCCAAGCTGCTGAAGGTATTTGAAAAGGAAAAATATGCTAATTGTTTCTCAAGAAAACTGAAGGATGGTGGGGAAGAGGGTCTGAGCGACAGTGAGGAAGAATTTATTCACTGAGAAATGCTACATGACTTAAATGTTGAGTGAAGAAACTACGGTCAACTGTCTTCTCACTTTATTCCAGTCTACAGATGCAGTTTATATAGACAGTTAATGTATTGGTAATTACAAACAAAGACTAGCAGAATATTGAAGATTTTTTCAGTTATTTAAAGAAAAGCTGTTATTCTGAAGTAACTAACAGGCATTAGCTTTTGTTTATTTTCAAAGCAGTTAAAAACATGCATTAGTAAAATGTAATTTTAGGGCTTGGTACATTAACACTTCATCTTAATTCCCCAGAATTAATTCAAAAATGCATTGCTACTTGCTGTTAATGAACATCTGCTGTTTGAAATTTGCAAGTGTCTCCTAACTATACCTAAGCAGTAGCATGAAGCCAGCTCTCTTCCACAAGCTGATTCACTGCACTTACAATGCAGTAAAGACTTTTAAGCAAAGGTATTGTAGATGGCTTTGAGAAGCAAGATCTATATATTTCATGAAGCTATTAAAGAAGATAATGGCTGAAAAATATTAAAATGATTGGCAATCACAGGCAGGTTTTTTACTTGAAAAATACTGATCATTCTTTCTTCTTCAAAACTCCCAGTACAGTACTGATTTCAGTAGTTATGCTCCTGAAGGCCTGTTTCATTGAAAGGGAAAGCTTGCGCTTTCGTCCAAATGCTATAAAATACATTTTATATTGCCTTTCATGTAACACATCCTCATACATGCCCTGTAGCTGAAATGAACAGCAGTATAGGGTATCTTTAGGACATACAACTTTGACATGTAATAAATGTGGGAAAAGCAACAAGTAAGTTTTCAAAAATTTTTTAAAATAAAAGACCGGGTTCTTCGTATTTCAAGATGAATTTGAGATGACAAGGGCCAAACCAAATTTTTGCTCCACAAAGTTTATGCCCAGTGTTTGTAACACAAAATTTTCCTCAAGCAGGTTTAGCAATAGAAAATACAGACTTATAAGACATTGAGTAGGTAAAATAAATTTATGAGGTATCTTAGAAGTAGGCAAAGGCTTTAAAATCAGTGTGTTTGCCTAGTGGCCAAGTTAATATTTTAAGATTAAATATAGGATAATCATAAAACTGAAAGATACATTCTGGATTACTGCATCCACTCCACTGCTACTTTCTAACCCTCATCTTCAAAGTAGTTTCCACAAATACATACAGTCTGAACAGGAGGCAGTTCCAGAACTCTTCATAATTACAAACCTTCTCATATCTAGCTAAAAATACTCAAGTTTAGTTTATCATGTTCTTTCACCCAACTTGTCTTTAGTTCAAACAGGTTTTTTGCTCTCTCTAGTGCTTCTCCTCCTTCCCTCACCACCAACTATGTTGATAGTGGGGAATCACTTTCCAGTTCAGCCTCTTTCTTTCTAGACTAAAACACATTAAAATGTATTTTCCCAAATTTCCTGCTCACCTTCATATAATTTCTCTTCCTCTGTTCAAAATCAGGTTCAACTTTCCTAAGCACAGATAACAAGCATCAAAATGAGATCATTTCAGTGTCTTGCATTTTGGTAGCAGTAAAACCTGGCTATGTCAGTTCTCCTAATACTTTCTGGGGTAGCATTTCCTTTTTCTCACAGTTGGGTGCCATTGGAGATTCATAATATAGCTATATTCTTCCCATTCATAGTTTATATCTAACTGGAAAAGCCATAGTTTACTGCTGATATTTGTATTTTGAATAATAGTTCACAACCTTTAAATTTTTATTTTCTATGATTGAATCTCATTCTGGTCTGATCACTTTAACTTTGAAGGTCACCCAGTTCTTCCTGCATAGCATTCCAGTCCTTCTCTGCTAAAATTTTCTTGTGACTTTTCCTTATAACCATATTTTATCAGTAGACTCCCTTTTTTTTTGCCTGCTAGAATCATTAGTGAAAATATTCAACTGTATTTTTATCTGAGGTGTGCTACCATTAGACAAAAAACCAAAACAAACCAAAACAAAAAACCAACCCAAACAAACACCACCACAACCCACATTCATTTCTTCCACATTCTGTTTTGCACTTACATCCAAAGCAAGTTCTCAGGCCATAGTGGAATTCTTTCTTCAACGTAGACACTATATGTGAAAATGAGGATTTGCAATGTCATGCACCAGATTTTTCGAGTTTCTAGAATGGCAGCTCTCTGGCCAGTCCAGCTTGAGTTCTTCAAAGTGTTCATCCTACGGTTTTGATAATTTCTTTATCCTTACTTGTGATTGCCATCCTCATTAGTCTTCCTGTTCAAGATCACCATCTTTCAAAAACTGGGGAAAAACTTTCACCTTACGTTGGAGATATTCCTAGATTATTTTAAAATTTGACAGCATTTTAAATGCACGTTGGTCCTGTACCTTTTTTGCTTCTGCTCTTTTGGACTTATGAAACATTGCTAGATTGTTCCTTAAAGACTTTATGTCCACTGTCACTGTTCTAACTGAGATGACCAACAAGTTTGCAGTTATTCTTTATACCTGTTCCTTGTCTTCCATCCCTAGATGAGAGATTTCTAAAAGTTATAGTACTTTGGAGCTCTAGGAATGATATGTGACCATGAGCCCCCTAGTACTTGTTGCCAGTAGGCAACAACTTTAGGATGAAATGCCATGAAAAGACCTATTTCTTTCCATTGACTGAGGATAATACTTGAGAATGGCAGTGCTCAGAAGTACATGATTGTAGATCTGACAGATGCCTCCCTAAACATCTTGGAATCAAGGAAATCTTCAAACTATAAAAAGGCTATTACAAAAGAGAAGTTTGTAGTGGTTTGTTGTAACAACCATACTTGACCATTGATCTGTTTCTACTGAACTGATTGCTGACTCTCTGAACTTCTGAATACCTGTAACTAATTTTCGCCCTTAACTCTGGAATTTCAGCAGCTTTGCACTTCCTTGTGTTCATTTTGTCAGTGCATGCAAATCTTTTACCACCACTGGGCTCTGATTGTGTGCAGAGTACTACAACTAGAAAGTAAAGATTGTTATGAGAAGAGAAGGATGGAAGAGAAAGATGATGTAAATCCTGTTAACTTAATAAAGGCTCAGATCGCATAGCTATTTTCTCTTTTAAGGTAAATATTCAGGAAGGTTAAATTACTATTTGTTTATTCCAGATTAAAAAGAAAAAAAAAAAGCTTATGCCATGATCCATTTTAGCAAAGTGTAGTCTTTTGCAGTCCTCACTACCCCCCACCCAACCACTTTTGATTAAAGATCCAAATCTCAGTTCTCACCAGCAAATCAAAGACATCATTGGATTAGAATGTTCTTTTTAATTTGCTCTAAACCTGCATAATATGTTAGGTGAAATGGTAGGTTATTTCAGTTTTGCAAGATAGATTTTAATTTCTTCAATTAAAGATTTAATTTTAAATATTCAGAAGTAGCCATGTGATCAATAACCATGCTATTTTGGAGAAATCTGTTACATAGAAGCCCTGTGCCTATGGAAAGGCATCAGTACTTTTTAAAATTGAAAGTGAAACTGATTGTTCTAAATTACCTAGTTGTTTCTGAAAGTGTATATTCTAATAAACTGTGACATCCTAGGGCAGAAAGATTTTAGTCAGTCCTTGAATATGATACTATGTGTACAGCTTTATCAGTTAGGAATAATTCAGTTATTCAAAATACATAACACATTTACAGTGTACCATCATATATTCCAACCTTCATACCCTTCTTTGCCATTTCTGGGTATCTGCTTCTAAACAGGAGTGAGTTTAGACATCTGTGGGTGTATTTCACTCCTCTTCTCTCTCCTTTTTCCCAATTGTTTTTTCCTTCTTATCACCGTTAAGATTGAATGCTAAAAATGACATATTTTGAAGTTCTCCAAAAGTAATTTAAATATATAATTTTCATTGCTTGTGCTGCCTGCTCCTTAATTCTATGAGCAATATACCAATTTTTCTTCTGCTGTTTTAAAGGTTCAGTGCAAATTCTTTCTTTCAGCACAAAGAGGAAGGGAACAATATATTTCTTATACTGGATATAAAGACTTCTTCACTTTAATATTGTGCTTAAAGTCAGCTATAATAAATGGTTTGATGAAACATTTAACATTTTTTCATTTGTTACTGATCATTGGGTTAACCATCCTTTATATTTTACAGCAG